GGCTCGGCCGAGTGCGCCGCGGGGTAGCCCACGGCGGCGGCGGGGTAGCCGTACCCGGGGGGCAGGTCTGCGGGGGGCGGCCGAGGGTCAGCGGGGACGCCCCGGTTCTCCCCGGCTGCCCTCCCGCCGCTCCCCGTCCCCGCGGTCCTACCTGGCTCCAGGGGTTTGGGGTAGCGGCGCGGGGGCTGCCCCTCGCCCCGCGTGTCCTCGCCCTCGCCGCCCTTGCTGGGGGCGGGCAGGGGGCTGGCGGCCGGCGAGGGCAGGGGGCCGTGGGCAGCGTCACGGGGCACTTGGCCGGGTGCCGCAGGGCCGGCGAGTGGCAGCACGGGGACAGCTTGGGGGGCGCGGGGGCCGCCGAGGTCAGGCCCTTGGCCGGCGGGTTTAAGGCAACTGCTTTGTGGGAGGGTTTGAGGGGCTTCTCGGGACCCCTCTCCTCCAGCTCCAGGGGCTGCTCCTCCGGCTTCCGCTGCGGGGCACAACGAGGTGACACGTGTCACATCCTGCCCCATGTCCCAGCCCTGCATCCCACATCCCCATCCAGCCCCTGCTCCAGTCCCTGCCCCACTGCCTGTCCCTCAGTCCCTCCCCACATCTCCCATCCCAGCCCCATAACCCACCCTCCACCCTGCATCCTCCAGCCAGCCCCACATGCCATGCCATGCCATGCCATGCCATGCCACGCCATCCCCCTGGCACCTGGCCGTGCACCTGGCGCTGGATCTCGAGGGCCTGGGCCGCCCGCTGCTGTTGCTGCTGCTGCTGCTGCTGCTGCTGCAGGGCATAGAGCTCCTGCTGCCGCAGGAACTGCGACCGTGGGTACACGGGGAGCTGCCCCGTGTGCTGCAGGTGGGCACTGGGACCCCGGCCCGGGTACATGGGGGGCCACAGCGATGCCTGGTCCATCACGTCAGCTGGCAGCAGAGAGGGGGCAATTGGAGACACTCTTCAGGGTCACCCCACAAACCCCAGTATGCCCAACCCCAGTCCTGTGACCCTAGCAGCACCCCCAGAGACCTGCCTCTCCCACCCCTGAACCCCAAAAACACCTGCAAGGACCCCATACCCTCCCCTGCACCTCCAAAAGTACCCCCAGGGACCCATCAGCCATGAACTCCCAAAAGTACCCCCTGTGACCCCCCCCATCTCCCACCCTGCACCCCCAAGGACCCCCTCTCCTCCCTCTCAATCCTCCCCCAGCCTCCCTCCCCTCTCCCCAGCACATGGTGGGGGTCTCAGGCTCACCCAGCGTGTGGGGGGTGCCATGGGTGGGGGGCTCCGTGGGGAGGATGACGAGCTGGGCAGGGGGGTCCTGGGCCAGGGGGAACACGGGCTGCATGGCGCTGGGCATGGAGGCAGGGAAGGCAGGGGGCAGGTTCTGGTGCAGGGCGGGGTGCCCGATGCCTGTGGGGATGGGGGGCATCTGTCAGCACCCCACTGCTGGGCTTCAGCACCCACCCAACTTCCCCCACCCCCGGCACCGACCGTAGGAGTGTCCCCCCATCCAGATGGAGGGGCTGCGGGTGCGGGGCAGCCAGTGCGTGTGGGCAGGGTGGGCGTGGGCAGCAGGGTCCCCCCCGAGCTGCCCCGCCGGCAGCGACGAGCCCCCCGTCATCATCAGGTGGGGGGTCAGCTCCCCAGGACACCCCCCCGATGGGTGCATCCGGGCAAACTCCACCAGGTCCTTGTTGTCCCTGCAGGAAAAGGGGACACGCAGAGTGTGGGGGCAGCACTGGCATCACCCTCCCCTGCACTTCCAGGGACCACCATCCTCCACCCCTGCGCCCCAAAAAGCACACCCAGCACATTTTCCAGCCCTCTCAGCCAGGCTCCCCCCGTGCTCCGTCACTCACTGGAGCAGGATGTCCCTCGAGGGCAGCCCCAGGCGCTCCTCGCACAGCCGGCCCCGCTCCTCCTCCGCCTCCAGCTCCATCAGGTGCACGGGGCGCGCGGTGCCTGCTGCCACGGGGACACCGCGGTGGCATCAGCGTGGCACCGCCAGCCCCCGCCGCCCCGGCCCTTCCCCAGCCCTCACCTTTGACTCCAGCAGCCGCCCGCTGCCGCCCGCTGCCGCCGGCACCGTAGGGCTCGTGGCGGGCCAGCGTGTCCTTCTGCCGCGCCACGGCCACCGCGATGCCCACGGGCGGCTGCCGCACCTCGCCCTCGGTGCCGCCGGGGCCCAGCGCCTCGTGCTCCCGGCCGCGGGCGCAGTCCGGCCGCTCCAGCTCCGGCTGACCCTTGCCCGACGGGAACTTGGCGTCCTGGTGGGCGCAGCTGCCCTTGGCGCTGCCCAGCCCCACGAAGGGGGGGCCCTTCTGCCCCCCCAGCAGCGCCCCGTTGCTGTACTTGAGCAGGTTCTTCATGGCCGACACCTCGTCGGGGGCGTTGGGCACCTCCTGCGCCCGCACCAGCCCCGCGCCAAAGGGGTCCAGGTAGGGCCCCCCCTTCCGCTCCTCAGCCACAGCCAGGGGGGGCCCCTGGCCCTGCACCCCCCAGGGGGGCAGGGGGTGCCCGCCGTAGCCCAGGCCACCCAGCTCCAGGGGCTTGCGCTTGCCCTCGGCCGCCTCGGCCTCGGGGTGCTGCTGGTGCCGGATCCGTGCCACCTTCTGGGCCGGGGGCTCCTTGGGGGGGCCCTTCTCTAAAGTGCAGCAGGAGGGGCCGACGCGGACGCCCAGAGGGTCGGGCCGGGGGGCGCGGGAGCAGTCGGGGGCGGGCGGCACCTCGAAGTAGCCCTTCTCCAGAGCCGCCTTGGGCGCGGGGCACCGGCCGGAGAACGGGGGTCCTTCGGCTGCGCCCCCCCCCAGGTACTCCAGCCCCTTCAGCCGGGTGCCCGGAGCCCCCCACTCCAGCCGCCGCTCCGCCGGGCCCTCGGCCTTCAGCGGGTGGTGGAAGGGGGCACCGTAGGGCTCAGCGCCCGCCTCGGCGTGCCGCTCCTTGCCGTCCCCGCGCTCCATCCCGCCGGATTCCGCCTGGAAGGAGCGGCTCTTGTCCGTCGGGGGCCCCACCGAGGGCACCAAGGTAGCCCCGCTGAGCTTCAGCTCGCGGGCGGGGGGCTCGGGCAGCGGGCACAGCACCTCGGGGCCGGCGTGGAGCGGGAGGCAGGGGAAGGAGCCGGCGGCGGGCACAGCGTAGGACACGGCGTGGTGCAGCATCTGCCGCCGCTCCACCGCCTCACCGTAGGGCTGGGGGGCCTCGGGGACCCCCGGCTCCCGCTCCTTGGGGGCGCAGCGGGCGGCGCGGGGCAGGGCGCTCCCGGCACAGCTGGGCAGCGCGGCGCGGGCACCGTCCCCGTCCAGCCCCTTGGCCCCCAGCAGGCACGAGGCCAGGGGTTTGGGGCGCCCGTCGCCGGCCCCCCGCGGCGGCACCCCCTCCTTGCAGTGCCCCTCGGGCGGCACCGGCAGCACCGCCTTGTGCCTCTCCTTGGGGTCCTCCTCGGGCAGCCGCTCCTTGGGGTCGCCCTTGCCCCCCTTGTCCTTGCCCGCCAGGAAGCGCTCGTAGTCCTTGGGGGTCTTGGGGAGGGGGCCGGTGTCCCGCTCCCGGCTGCAGGAGCCGGCGGGGGGCCCGGGGGCGGCACGGGCGATGCCGGGGAAGCCGTGGCTGGCGGGGAGCAGGGGGGGCTGCGCCGGAAGGTTCCGCAGGTAGAAGTTATCTGGAGGGGAGGGCGATGGGTGAGACCCCCGCGCACCCCCACCCAACCTGCGGCCGGACTGGGATGAGGGGTTGGGCTCCTTAGGTCCGTGTCCCACCCAAACAATGGCCCCGTTAGCACCCACCACAACCCCGTGAAAAGCAGGAGCAAGGCTGGGACTGGCACCCATCACCCCACCCGCTGCCCCAGTACCACCTGCCCCAGCACTGAGCCCCCCACCCCTGCCCAGCTGGGGACACGCACCCCCACGGGGGTCCCTGGTGGCCCCGGTACCTGCCTTTCTGGCTCTCGTAGAAACGGTGCTGGCCATAGAGCACGTTGCCATTGCCGTGGTGATCCAGGTGGCCCATGGGCAGGAAGGTGGAGGCCAAGCTCCCGGAGAAGCGGGGGTACCCCGGGGCTGGGGACATCGAGTAAGCAGGGCTGGGGTGGCACCCAGCCCCAGCATCCCAACCTGCACGGCTGCAGCTGGGAACTCGGCAGAGCCAGGCTGGGACCCCTCCCACCCTCTGGGAACTGCGGGGGGGGTTGAGACCCCCCCAGCCCCGTGTCAGCAGTGGCCGTGCTTGGCTCGGCTCGGCACGGCTTGGGCGGGCTGTCCGTCAGCCGCGTGCGCTGCCCGTCCCCGTCCCCCCGTGCCCCCCCGGCACGCCGGGAGCCAGCTGGCAGCCGGTCAAACTACCAGCCGGGCAGGCTGCCAGGGCCCCGCGCCAGCGCCGCCGCCCCGCTCCCGCTCCTCCGGCGGGACGGAGACGCCAGCGCATGGGGGGCACAGGGACTCGGTGTAACCAGGGCTGCCCCCGGGTCCCCACACTGTCACCTGCCCCAGCAGGGCCGTCCCTGTCCGGGTTCATCATCACCGGTGACACGAGGAGGCCTGGCCTCAGCTGGAGCTCTGCAACCAGCACGAGCCTCTCTGGCCACCCCGAACCCCAGCTGTGGGGTCTAAGCCCGGTCCCTCTGGATGCCCAGGGTGTTTTGGGGCACCACGGTGGCCAAACTCACCCTCATCACCCAGAAGCCGCTGACCCAGGGGTCTGGGCACTGGTAGGACGTGACCACTGGCATGTGACCATTGGCACTGGGCACAGCCATGACTGCCTCCGGCCACCCCCGACCCACAGCCCATCCCCACCCCGGTGCCCACTCACCTTCGTGGGAGTGGGAGAACCAGATCTGGGAGGTGCCAGAGTGGGGCCCGCAGAAGGCCGGTTCTGGGGGGGACGCGGCGGGGCCAGCGGGGTGGCTGGGCCCCCCCGAGCCCAGGCTGCCACTCAGGAAGCCCCCCATGAAGGAGGAGGGGGGGGCACTCCCCATCAGGCTGCTGCCGGCTGTGGGGAGAGGGCACAGTCAGGGGGGCTGAGAACAGTCTGGGGGGGCTGAGGGCAGTTGGGGGGGCTGAGAACAGTCTGGGGGGCTGAGGGCAGTCGGGGAGGCTGAGAACAGTCTGGGGGGGCTGAGGGCAGTCGGGGGGGCTGTGCAGGCCCTGCTCGCATGACCCAGCACACCACACACACGTGTGTGTGCACGGCTGCACCGGTGCATCCCCTGGGCACACCCAGCCCTCCTGCCACACGTGTCCCTCGTGGGACTGTGTCCCTTGTGCACACCCAGCCCCTGTGCACAAGCGTTCCTCATGCTCACAGCCCTGGCGTTACCATGTCCCTCATGCACACGCTGCCTGCACATGTCCCCTGTGCAGTTACACCCCTCACGCACTCATGCCCCTCACACCCCCAGCCCCAAGGGGCTCAGACGTGCCCCAGAGTGTGTGAGGCACAGCAGAGCCATGCAAGGGGCACCAGAGCCCTGCCTGTGCATGCCCTGAGCACTCACACAGGTGTGCCACGCTCTGCACACGCATGGGGCTCCCCACGCTGCTGCTCCCCGCAGGGGACACCGGCTGCTCCCAGTGCCAGGACAACCCCAAGCTCCAGGGACATGGGCTGTGCCAGGCCACGTGGGTGCACATGTGTGCTCTGTGTGTGTGTGCACATGTGTGTGAGCGCAAGGAGGGGGGACAGCCCTGGCCCTGACCCTGCTGCCTCCCCCGCAGCCCGGGGGGGCCCCCAGCACCCTCGGGGAGGCTCATGGCCGGCGCTCCCCATCCCGCCCCCCAGCCCGCTCCCATCCCGGCCAAGGCGTGAGATCATGGTGGAAACTTCAGAGCTGGTGGCCAGCGGCCGGGCGGGGGGAGTGGGAATGGGGGGAGCCGGGATGGGGGGAGCCAGGATGGAGGAGCAGCTGCCCCTCACTGTGTGGGCCTGCTCCCCATGTCCATGTGTGCCAGAGCAGCCATGGCACGGCTCAGCACGGCTCAGCACGGCTCGGCACGCGTGGCGTGGCGCGGAGCGCGGGCTGGCTGCCCGCCCGGCCGGGGCAGGAAGCGATGCTTTGCTCTCTAAGCCGGCCCACGCTCCCCGGCTAATCCCACCGGGATGCCTCTGGGATGAGTGTCGGGATGTGGTTTCAGGCAGCTTCGCTCCTTCCTCCGTGGCGAGGCCGAGCCGGGCAGGGCCGCGTGGGCCGGGGGCACGGCCGCATCCCACCCACAGCCCTGGGAACCGGACACACACCGGGACGGCCGGGCACATCCCGCCGTGCCAATGCATCCCCGGGGATCCCTGCCCTTGCTGCCCCCACAAACCCACCCTGTGCACCACAGCCCCGGCCGTGCCGGGGGACCCCGCGCGGGCGTGGAGCCGGCAGCGTGCCGGGCGGGAAGCCGAGCTTTCCAGAATGAGACTTTTCTGGAAGCTGTGAAACGGGCTGGAAAAAAATAACCCCTCACCCCACCCCGATGGCGGCGGGGTGTCCCGGGGGGGCTGTGGGGCCGCCGCTCCCCACCGCCCACCCGCTGACTCACGGGTCCCCCGGTGCACGCTGGCCCCGTGGCCAGCACTGCTGATCCCACATTCCCGCTCGCCCCTGCACACCCATGCTCTGAGCAGGGGCAGGGAGCAGCCCCCTGCTTCTGCCCCTCCAGCCACGGCGATGGCGAGCACGGGGCAGGGACGGGTCACTGAGGACGCACACAACTCGTGCCACTGATAAGCCACCGGTGTTGGAGCAGCCCGTGCTGCCAGTCCCCGAGACCGGGCACAATTCGTGTCACCGATGAGCTGGCAGTGCCAGGATGGGCACAGCACCGTGGGGCAGGCTGCCAGCACGGGACAGATGGCTGCGGGGTCCCAGCCCGGCCCCCCCTGCCGCCCCCCGGCAGCGTCACCCTGGGAACTCCCTGGCTGGGCTCCCCGAGGCCGGTGCTGTGACTCAGCCCCGCCGGCATCGCTCCCGGCTCCGGCACGAAATTTCCCTTGGCCCAGAATCCGCAGAGGGTCACACGTGTGACAAGTGTGCCAGGTCTCAGCATGGCCACACCGACAGCGCTGAGACGGGCGGGGGGCATGGGGGAGACTCAGGAGGGGACAACAAGAGGTGCTCCCTTCCCTCCAGCTGCTCCTCGCCCCCACTCCAAGTGCAGCACAGATGGGAATGTGTTGGGAAGGCAGAAAGTTTCAGGGCCAGCGTGTGGAGGGGGGCCCTGGTCCCGGGGGGGTTCAGCCCACGGCTGCTCTGGGATCCCCAAGGCGGTGACAGACCCGGGACCGCGGCGGTGGCGGGGGGGACGTGCGCTGGGTTGGGTTTCTCCTCGGCTATTTTGGGGCTGGAACATTCCTAATGGAGCTGGGGCCGCGGGCGGAGGGCCGGGAGCTGGCAGGGACCCTGGCAGGGGCAACCCGGGCCCCCCCCAACCGGGCAGGGGGTGGTGGGCAGCCCCCCACGTGCTTCACAACCCACACGGCCCCTTTAAAAATTTGGCAAACAGGGAATAAATGGGCTCTGGCTCCCTCGGCGCTGTAATTCCAACTGAATCCATATTGTTACGGCACTCAATGAACGCTGCAATGGTGAAATGCAGCCGGAACGTGCCCGAGGGGCCAGGAGGGCGATCCCAGTGCTGTGTGAGGGGTTATCCCCTCCGGAATGCCACTGGCAGCTGTGCTGGCCACAGCCACTGCACACTCAGCACTTGCACGCTCACTGGGGCCGCGTGTGCAAAGGGCTAACAAGGGTGGTGGACGCTCCTGGCACAGCTGGGAAACGCTGCTGGCACGGCTGGCACACACCACTGGCACAGCTGGCACACGCGTGTGCTCAGTGCACACTCCCTGCATGCATGACTTTCACACCCAGAGCACGATTTGCACACCCAGAGCACAACCTGACACACACGTGCCTTGGAAGAGCATTGCTGGAGCACAGGGAAGCCAGCACTGGGAATGTCCAGTCCCAGGGTCCTGATGTCCCACCCCACCACTGATGTCACATGGATGCCATGCACATGGACTCTTCCCAGGAACCCTCCAAAATGTGGGTCCGTGGGCACCCTGTGCAGTTCCTGTGAACTGCAGTCACACATGTGGGTCCTGGCAGGGGGAGGACTCGTCTACCCCTGCTCCCCCCAGGGCTGGGGGAGCCCAGCATGAGGCAGGGTCAGAGCCTGCCCTGGGGTGATGCTGTGGGGCAGTCAGGGCACAGGCAGGGCTGGGGGTCCCGAGGAGCCAGGGGCACCCAAAGTAGCCCCAAAATTCTCCATGGAGCCCATCCACCTCCCACTGTTCCCCGGGCAGTGCCAGGGGCTGGTGGCAGCTGCCCGTCCCCCAGGGCCTGGCATGTGGCAACATCTCTGCCTGGATCCAGCTCATGACTAAGGAACAGTGGAAGCACTCGGGGATGACTCTGCGAGAGCCAGGGTAATTCCACGGGATCCGGGGTTCTGCACATCCCACTGGCCATGCTCGGCCCTGGCGCCTCGCGGCTACCAAGGAGCAGCCCAGCTAATCCCCAGATCTGGTTTAACTTTGACACTTACTTTGGCAACGCGGCCATGCTCGGCCCCCGGCGCCCAGCTAATCCCCAGATCTGGTTTAACTTTGACACTTACTTTGGCAACGTGCTGCAAGGGGGGCTGGGGGGAGCGGGAGCCCCTGCACCAGAGCTGCACCAGAGCTGCGCCGTGGCCTGCAGCCCCTCGGCAGATCCCGTCTCCAGGGAAGCAGCGATGCAGAGCGGCTGCAGCGCTGGCACCCGGCCCTGTGTCACCACCCAGCCGGGGCACCGTCCCCACCTGCCTCCCACCATCACCACCCAAATCCCCCCTCAAAGCCGTGCCAGGAACCGCAGAGCACCCAGCCCGCGGGCGATCCAGGGAGGGGACAGGTGTGGGAGCACATCCAGCCCCTGGGACGCACCTGGGATGCACCGGGACCTGCACTGTCATGGCCAGGCTGTGTGCCAGCGCCGGGATGAACACCAACACTGGCACTGCCAGGCTGCGGGGCAGCGCTGGGACACACATCGGGATTCACTCCGGGATGCACACTGGGGTTCACTCCGGGATTCACACCGGGGTGCACACACCCCCCCAGGGTCAAGCCACACACCGGCACAGCCACACTGCTCCCAGCCGAGGGCTCAGCTACGGTGACACAGTCCAGCACAGTCACAACTGTCCACTAGTCCACAAAAACACCCGAAAGGCAAAAACTGCAGCCAGGCCTCAGCGAGGCTCGGACAGGCCTCTGCCAGTTTCCCACTCTCCGTTTGTGGCGGAGGCACCGCGACCCCCGGCCCTGCTCAGCACGGGGTGTGCCGTGGCACTGGGACCCCCTACAAATGGGGTGCAGGGGCTGCACCCGCCTGGATGGGCTCTGGTGGCTCCGAGGGTCTCCATCCCCCCATCCCCGGGCGGTGCCGGTGCCGAGTGCGACGCCAGCCGAAGCGTTCGGTTCCACAAACGCGCGGCCCTGAGTTACGGCTTTAATAAAAGCAAGGAAAACAGTTTTATCTCCCGTTCCCAGGGCGGCCGCCGGGCCCGGCAAAGGCTCCTGGGAGGTGTAGTCCGGCCGCACGCCGGGAGCCATTTGGGGGAGCGCGGCCGGAGCCCCGCCGTGCCCCCCGGGGCCGCGTGCCGCTCCGGCATCGCCCGCCACGGCCAACGCGGGCCGGCTCCGAGCCCGGGTGGGGTAATTATCAATCATCGGCCTTAATTACCGCGCCACGCTACCAGGGCTGCCGGCACCGCGGCCGGGCCGTGCCGGGAGGACACGGGGTGCAGGGCATGGGGACCCCCCCTCCCGCCGGCACCGCGCCGGCCGCTGAATTATCCGGTTTATCCGCCCCAGCAGCGTTCCGGCCGCGCGGAGCCTCGCAGCGCAGCTCGCTGGGAAGCGCTCCGGCTGCGCCGGCCCTGCCAAAGCCGGAATATTTTTAGCTCGTTCTGTTGTTGGGTTTGGCTTCTCTGTTTTTTTTTTTTTCCCTGGGTTTTTTTTTTAATGTTTTTTTTCGGCGCGTTTCTGCCGGGGTATTTTTAGCCGGATCCATGTTATTTTAACAACCTCCGGTGCATTCGGGCTCCCATGTGTCGCCCAGGCCCCGGCGGGTGTGAGGGTCCTGCACGGGGACACGGCCGCGGCGGGAAGCCGGAGGGAAGCCGGAGGGAAGCCGGCAGCACCCCGGTGCTGGCGTCCCTCCGGGATGCCCCCACGGTCACCGCGAGCCGGAGAGCAGCCGAACCCCCTCCCCTTATCCCGATCCCTCAGCCCGGGGCCGGGCTCCAAGCCCCCATCCGCACTGCTCGCCCAACAAAGCTGGGGGAAGCCAGGGTGGCCCCCCGAGCCCGGCGGTGGTCCCGGCAGCGGGGCCGCCGGCACAAAGCGAAACCGCCCCGGCCGCGGGCCCGATCCGGCGCCGCCTCCCCGGCACCCCCCGGTGCCCCCCGCTTTCCACCTCCTTCCAAGAACCCCCACGGCTGCCACCCCCCCGCGCCGGCCCGGCCGTGCCCCCCGCCCTAATCCACGCACTAATTGTAATCCCATTAAAGCAGATATAATTTTATTAGTATTCACAGCTCATCAAGGCGGCGACAATAACCGGCGCTGCCGCCGTGCCGCGGCCAGACAACCGCCTGCGCCGGCGGGAAGCGGGGGGCCCGGCGCTGCGCCGCGCCGAGCCGGCACACGGCTCCCGCTGCCGCTGCACCCCGGAGCTCGGCAGCGCGGGGCTCCCCGCCGGCCGTGCCCTCGGAGCCCCGCGCAGCCAGCCCCGGCAGAGGCGCCGCGCCGCCCGGCTCAGCGCTGCCCGGCCGCAGCCGAGCACATGCCGCAGACAAAGCCGCTCGCCGCGGATGCCGGATCCGGTGACCCCGCGCCGGTGCTGGCCGGCCGTGCCGAGCTCGGCCGTGTGCCGCGCTTTGTCCAGCGCCGGCAGCTGCCGCGGCGAACACGCGCCGCGAACCCCTTCGCACCCTGACACTTCGGCGCCGAATATCGAGCCCGGGCTCGGTGACCTTCCACCGCCGCCCCACGGCCCCGCGCATAACGGCCTCCTTGTTCGCCCCGAACGCGCCTCCTGGTCCCGGCACCGGGCTCTCGCCGGCGCAGCCCGGGGTCACGCTCCTCCCGGAGCGGCTGGGTGGGGGATGCCCCCCGTGTGCCTGAGCCCTCACCCCAAAACCCCCGGGCGCGGTGACAGCGAGGTCGGCACAAAGGCAGGCCGAGCTGCCGGGGCCGTGCCGAGCTGCCGGGGCCGTGCCGAGCCTCCCAGCCCTTCCCGGCCCCCCGCCCCGCGGGCGCCCCGACCCCTCTGACCTGTGTGCGTGGCCATGGAGATGGGCGCCGGGAAGTACTTGGTGGGCTGGAAGTGTCCGGGGGGCTGCACGGCCCCGTGCGCCGACCCCGCCACGCGCCCCGCGCCGTGCCGGTGGCCCAGGCTGCCCCGCTCCGACAGCAGCCGCGGCGGGGGCGCGAAGTCACGGCCGTCCATGCCGGGGGCCGGCTCGGCGGCCGTCGTGCCGCGCTCCGCGCCGGGGCTGTCGGTTCATCCTCCGCTCCTGCCACGGGGAGAGAAAGGAGAGAGTGAGAGCACAGCCGGGGTGGGGGTACGGCCGTCACTGCACGCCGGAGCCCCCGCGCCCCGGCGCTCCGGTACACAGCCCGCTTTCTGTGCCGTTCGCAGGGCCCCGCGTTCCCCGGTACCACCGGCGCACGGTCCCCGCTCTCTGCCGTCCCCGGAGCACGCCCCCCCCCTTCCCCAGTACTCCCAGTTCACGATCCCCAGTTTCCCCAGCGCACAGCCCCCCCCACTCCACGTTCCCGGTGCTCCCGGAGCGCAGCTCCCCCTCGATCCAGAGCTCCCCGTTCCCAACCCATTTGCCCGGAGCGCGGGCCCGGTTCCCGCTGCTCCGACCCTTTCTGGCCGCTGCTCGGGTTCCGGTTTCCCGGCGCTCGGTTCTTTCACCTCCCCCGGTTCACCGACCGTATCTCCCTGGGGCTCGGCCCCGCTCGCCCCCGGCTTCCCCGCTCCCCGTTGTCTCCCCGGTGCTCGGCGCCTCCCTCGCAGCGGTTCCCCGGTTTCCTTCCTTCCCCAGCCCCGCTTCCTCGGTGTTTCCCCGTCTTCCCTCCAGCCCGGTTCCCCCGGCCCCGCTCCCCCGGTATTACCCGCTGTCCCGACCCTCCTCGCCCCGCTTCCCCGGTGCCCTGCCCCGGTTCCCCGGTATTTCCCCGCTCTCCCGGCCGCGGTTCCCGGTCGCTGCCGGTGCCCGGCCGCGGCTCCCGCCCGCCGGGGGCCCGGCCCGGAGCGCGGGGACCGGGAGGGAGCGCCGGGGCGAGCCCCGGGGGAAGGCACACGGGCCGGGAACAAAACATGTGTGTCGCCTTAAATAAAGCGGAGGAAAATACGTGAAAAAAGATGTTTTGGGGTTTTTTTTCCCTTTTTTTTTAAATTGAGATATTAAAAAAAAAAAAAAAAAAATAAAAGGACATAGAAGGTCATTTTTTTTTCCCTTTTTTTTTAATTGAGATATTAAAAAAAAACAAACAAACGCCAAGCGAAAAAATTAATGGGAAATAATTGAAAAGGAAAAATATTAAAAGCAAAAAATCGAAGGCAAAAAGGGCTCGATGCGAAAATGTTTGAAGGCGCAAACGGTTTAGTGAAGCAGCGTTTGATGAGCAAACGATTTAATGAACAACTGTTTTCACGCACAAAATTTTAATGAACAAAATTTTAAGGCGAAGCGTTTTGAAGAGACGGGTTTTAATGGGAAAATGTTTTAATATAAAAAGATGAAAGGGAAAATATGTTTTAATGAGAAAAGATGAAGGGGAAAATATTTTGGTGGAAAGAGATAGAGGGAAAAATATTTTGGGGGGAAAAAAGATTAAGAGAACAAATATTTTTGCAGGAAAAAGACGAATGTAGAAAATATTTTGATGCCGGAAAGATGCAAATAAATATTTAGGTGCGAACAAATAAAGCGAAAAAAATAAATAATAAGGTCAAAACGCAAAAAAAAAAGGAAATTTGCAAAAATTAAATTGAAAAAATGCAAAATAATTAGCGAACCAAAATTTTAAAACGTAATAAATCCAAGTAGGCAAAGAAAAAAAAAAACACAATGCACAAAACACAAATAAAAATAATGCCCAAAACGCAATTAAAAAAAAAATTTAACGCCCAAAAACCCAAAATAAATAACGCCAAAAAAAATTGTTAAGGCGTAAAAAAAAAAAAAAACAACCAACAAAACCAACAAAAAAAACAATAACCCCGGAGCGCCCGAAATTAAAATAACCCCCAAACAACAACAACAACAACAACAACAAAAAAAAACCCACCCGCGGATCGCAGTTACTTACCGGAGGGGCGTTCCGCGCGCGGGGCGAGTGCGGTCCCGTGGCGGGGGTGCGCAGCGTGCTCCTGCCGGTGCCCGTGCACTGCCCATGCACCGGCTGCTCCTGCAGCAAAGGGAACCGGGGGTGTGTGGTTGGGGGGGGTGCGGGCGATTGGCTGGCGGGCCGCCAGCGCTCCCGCCAATCGGCGCGCGGCGAGCGGCGCGGAGCGGCGGCGCCTAATTCAAGCCCGGCGGATGAATGGGGAGGAGGGAGCGGCGCGCAGGCGCAGCGCGCGCCCGGGGCGGAGGGGAGGGGGGGGATTGCGTTGCCGCGCGCCCCTCCGCCGCAGCGCGCGGGGCCCCCCCGCGCCGCCATTGGCTGGCGGCGCGCCAGCGCGCTGTCAATCACGCAGTGTAAACAAGGCGCCGATTGGCCGGTGCGGCGGGCGGTTTCAAGGCGCCCCCTCGGGGGGAGGGGGGCACGCGCGGCGGGGGCGGTTTCGAGGCCCCCCCGCGCACAGCCCCGAGCGGCCCGGGCCGCGGCCAGCGGCATCAAAGAGCGGCGTGAGGGGAGCGGCGTGAGGGCGCGGGCCCGAGGCAGAGCAGTGTTGGGGGGCCATGGAGAGCACTGTGCGGGGTTCTGCAGTGTTGGGGGGCTGTGCAATGGGGTGCCTGTGCTCAGTGCAGGGAGGGGACAGAGCCAGCTGAGGGGACAGAGCCCGCTGAGGGGCTGTGTGATGTGGAGGGGCTGCTCAGGGCCAGGGGAGCCTGAACGGTACCGGGGACCACACAGTGGGAACGGGAGCAGCACCGGGGGGTACCGGGAGCAGCGGCCTGGCAGTGGCCGCCGCCGGGATTCCTGCCGGGGCACTGCGGTGTTCGGGATTTTTTTTTTTTTTCCTGTTTTACAATAAAAGGGTGTAATTGATTGAAAACGCTGAAATAAATCCCGATGGCTCGTAACCACGATTAGATTACGGCGGGCGATTCATTAGGCGGGACGGCAATCGAGTTAGCGGGGAGGGGCCGGGGGCACCCTCCGGCACCGCACGGACACGGCGCGGGGACAGACGGACAAGGACAGCCGGGCACAGGCGGCCGCACGGCGGGGCACGGCCCGGCACAGGCGCTGCTGCAGCGGGACGTGCGGCTGCGGCACGGAGCCATGCCTGGGGACACGCCGAGGGACACGGAAGGACACGGGCTGGCACCGCACACCCGGCCCCGCATCCTCCTCCGCCGCTGCCCTTGGATCCCTGTCCACTGGGGAAGGCCGGGAAAGGGCCCTCCTGGATTATCCCAGCGTGGAGTCGGTGCCAGACGGGAGCGCGGTGCAGGTCCCGTTGTGTGGGTGCACCGTGTGCAGCCTCCGCTGGTCTGGCAGTGCTGGGAAAGAGTTCTGTGGAAAAAGAGAACCAGAAAAACCTCACAAGCAGCGGCTCTCAGGCTGTCCCTTCCCGCAGTGGGCAGGGGCCGGGGGAAGCCCTGGTGCCGCGTGGGCAGGGTTGAGTGCAGGGTTTGTGGGGCAGCAGGGTTGTGTCCCTGGGCACAGTGGGCAGATCCCCATGGGTAAACATCAAACCCGGGCAGCCCCTGCTGTGGGCAGCCCCCCTCCCTGGGCAGGCTGCCCCGCATGAGTTGGCATCCCTGCGGGCAGACCGCCCACCGTGGGCAGACCCTCCTGTGGGTACGTTCCCTCTGGGCAGCCCCCGACCCCCGCTGTGGGTGTCTGAACCCTGTGGGCAGCCCCCGCCCCGTGGGGATAACTCTGCTGTGTGAGGCTGATCAGTGAAGTGAGGCCAAGTGAGCACAATTAAAGTCACTTTAATGAGGATCCCCCGCACGTCCACCCCCAGCCCTGCAGCTGCCTTTGTCCACTGCTGCTGCCGCTCTCACGGTGCCTGTCCCCCCTCAGCTGGGGCTGGGCCACCACGGAGCCCCCTGAGCACGGTGTCCCCCTTGGGGGGCAGGAGGGGCCCCGCGGGCGGGGTGTGGTGGCAGAGGGACAAGGGACACGTTTCGGGGTGCAGTGGGGGGGCTGCAACCCCGGCAGTTTCCTCCCTCCTCAGCTTTATCCTGCCGGGAGCTGCTGAACCCCCTCGGGAGGGAAAGGAGGGAGGGTCCCCTACCCTCCTGGGGCAGGAGCCGGGAACAACCCCTGGATCCACAGCACCGCTGTGGCGCGACCCGCGGGCTGGTGTGTCCCCTCTGCTGTCCTTCACGGCTCATCCAGGGCTCCCCACGGCTCGGAACGGCACAGCACGGCTCGGGCACAGGCGCTTTTCCAGCTGGCCACGGCGTTCCCGGCGCGTCTCAAGGCCGTCTGCGGCCAAGGGTCGTGTTTGCCGGCGCGGAGGGACGAGGTGGCCCCGCAGCGCTGTCCCCTCCGCGGCCAGCTCGGGGACACCGTGCCCTGCCCCGCGCCCCCCGCGGGAGGGGACACCGGGGGGCACGGAGCCGCAGCCGCTCGGGGGTCCGAGGAAAAAGGCAAAAAAGGCAGGAACTTAACTCCCATTAACCATCCCATTGTACCGGCCGTGGGAATAATCGGGTTTGCTAATGCAATTGCTGCCGCGATGCGAAAATCCGACTGGAAAATGTATTAGAGCAATTATCCGCCTCCCTCCGCAGCCGGCGGAGCATTAATATTCAATTTTGATGTGGAAGCCCTATTATGTTAATGACTTTGGTGACAAAAGTCGTTAATGTAAGTCGGTTCCTTTATGGCGCGGCATTAGCCGGGGTGAGCGCGGGATGGAACGGGGGCACGGCGGGAGGATGCGGGATGGGGCGGCGTGGGGAGCCGGGCCGAGCCCCCTCCGCACCCCGCACAGCCCTCGGGTCGGGCCGGGGCCGCCGGTGTTCCGGGGGCTGCGCCGGGGCGGATTAGCCGCGCTGCAGCGCATCCGGCAGCGCCGCTCCCTCCGCCGCAGCTGCCCTCCTTTGTTCTCTGCCCGGGCCCCGGGAGATGCACCGGCGCTTCCCCGCCTGCCGGGAGCGCGGCGGGGCCGGCCCGGGCCGGCCGCTGGCCCGGGGATGTGCCCCGGTGCTCGGTGCGCTGCCGCCGTGCTTGGGCAGCGCCGCAGGCCCGGCCGGATCGGGGATGGAGCCGGGACACGCGGGGAGGGGATGAGGAGCGATCGGAGCGGAGGCAGCTCCCCGGGCTGCCCATCGGCACCGCCGCCGCGGCTCCCGATGGCACTGCGGGCTCTGGTGGTGTCCGGGACAAACGGGGAGCTGGGAGCCGCCTGGGCCGGAGAAACCGACCGTGACCTTCACCTTTCCAGCCAAGAGCTGCTCCTCCTGCCGCTGGCTGGCAGTGCCCGGCCTTGCCCTGAGTGTGTCCGTGGCACGGGCCCGGCCTGGCACGGGGCTGGGGATTCCTCACAGCCAAGGAGGGGTCCGGGATGGGATTTCCCGGTGGTGCTTTCCGGGACCCCGTGGGAGGCTGCTGCCCGGTGCTGGGCACAGCCGTGTCCGGCACACAGCTCTACACGTGGCTCGGTCGCAGCCCTGGTTTCAGTGGTGCAGCCCGTCCGCACGGCCGCGGCAGCAGCTGGGATCGCTGCCCAGAGCCGCCGGGGCGATGCCCCCGCCCCAGTCCCGGCAATAACGGGCGAGTGGGGCACGGGCAGCCAAGCCAAACTAACCCTGCTGCCACCTCCGGTACCAGGGCCAGCCCTGAGCCACAACACACCCCGGGCAGCGCCCGCGGTTCGCAGCGGGGCTGGGGCCGCTCCACCGGGATCTACCGGAGCAGGAAGGTGCCGAGCCGCTGGTGGCACCGGGATCGGTACCCATAACGTATGGACAGGCACGTGTCCTTGGCACGGCTGGGGACACTCGGGGTGCCCCGCTCCCCTCGCTGTGCCCGCTCCCCGCGGAGGCGGCTCCGCGCGCACGTGGCCGGGCCGGGCCGTGCCCGCGCTCCGCCCCGCGCCCCTCCCGCGCGCCCATTGGCTCAGCGCCCCCGGTCCCGCGCTCCCATTGGCCCAGCGGCCCTCGTCCCGCGCGCCCATTGGCCCCGGAGCCCTCCACAAACAAAGGCCGGAGCCCGGCGGGGGGCCCGGCGCGCCGCTCCCATTGGCGGAGCCAAAAGGCGAGGCTGCCCGCCTAGGCCCCGCCTCCAGAGCAGTGCCGGATGCCCTTATATGGAGCTGGGCGGGGCTCGCTCATTCATGCGCGCAGGGAGGGGCGGGGCCACCGCGGGGCTGCGCTTCCCGCCCGCGGCGCGCGCGGCTCGTTCCCACGGCGCGGGCGGGTGAATGAATGGGCGCGCGCGGGGGCACGGCCCGGTAAGGTTCGGAACGGCCCGGTACGGCCCGGTAAGGTCTGGTAAGGCACCGTGCGGCTCGGTGAGGCACCGTGCGGCTCGGAACGGCTCGGTGCGGCTCGGTGCCTGTGTTAGGCGTGGGTACGTGCGGGTGGGGAGCGTGTCCACGCGCGGGTGTGACGGTGCCGGGGCTGGCGTGGGGCGGGCGCGATCGTGTCCTGGGTGTGCGTGGATCCCCGTGGTTGTACCCCCGCTGCTGTGTCCACCTGCACGCCCCTCTGTGCCTGGCACACCCACGCGTGCTTTGCTCTGGGGGGCGAAGGCGGCTTCTCGGGCTCCCACGTTCTTGGCTCTGCATCGCTCCTGCCCAGCTCCCCAGGGCTTGGGGACCCGCATCCCAAAATGCATCCCATGGTGAGTACCCACTGCGGGGCCCACGGCTGGCACTGGGGTGACACCACGGCGGGGACACCACGGGCTCTCGCCTCCCTCCAGCACGGGCTGTGCTGTTTGTCCCACGCTGCTTTAATCCCCCACATGGGTTTGGCCCCTCGCCTCCATCCTCCTCATCATGCCCATAAATCCATTCCCGATCCCGTTCCCAACCTGCCAGGCTCTCGCGGGACACGCGGCAGCTCCCAGCTCGTGCAGGAGATACGGACTGAACTTTGGTCCCCGAGCAATTAAGGTGCCTGAAACTGCACTTCATTAATGGTTGTTCCGCAATAAAACCCATCAAACTGCCCTTATTTGCAATATAAAACTGCAATTTGTTTTAATTTATGTTTTTCAATCCCTGCCGGGTGGTTCCTGGATCTGCCAGGCATCTGTCAGTGGAACCAGCCAGCAGGAGCAGGGTGGTTCTGGGTGGGGTGCAGGGGAACACGGGGTGGGCTGAGGGTGGGCTTGCCCCAGGCCTGGAGAGGGGGTTCCCACTCCTCCCCATTCCCCGTGGGCCCTGTGTCCCCCGAGAAGGGAGGGCAGGGATGCTCCCGTGGTTCCAGGGAAGAGCATCCCCGTGCCATGGGAGCCCCTGGCACGGAGCTGCCACTGAGCACGAGTGGGGTGGGTGGGAGCAGAGGTGGACCCAGGTGATTCCCGGGACAGCATCACCCCTGGAGCTGGGAATTGGCTCTGCTCAGCTCCGTGTGTGCCAGCACACGTGGGCACATCCCCGGAGCAGCGTCAGCCCCAGCAGCAGCCCCTGGACGTCCCGAGGGATTTGTGCTTCCATGAAGCAGCACAGGCTCCCCGCGGGCCCAGCCAGCCCCGAGCCCCCATTTCTAATTACACTCGTTTGGCTCTGCCGTCCGCCGGGGCTGGTTGTCCTCCGTGGGGAGGAATCTGGGCCACGGGCAGGGCTCTGAGCCCCCTGGGATTCCCGGGGGAGCGCTGCCCTGGCTCCCAAGCCCCCGAGGGCCCTTTGCCAGCTCCCAGTGCCCTGCCGGAGGGCAGGGTCGGGGTCCCTGGTGGTGCCCGGCTGTTCACAGTGGTGGGAGCTTTCCAGAGAATTCTCCTGGCTCTCGGCAGGTGTGTGATGGAAAACTGGTGCTGCTGGGACGGGCCCAGCTCCTGCCGGAGGCACAATTTGGGCTGTTTGGGGCTGCAGAGGTGCCTGAGGAGCTGCAGCAAGCCCCATTCCCTGGGGATGGGCACGGACCAACCCCGGGGCTGTGGCACGGGAGGGTGGCAGAGCAGGGGCAGCTCCCCCGCTGTCCCCATCCCGTGTCACGGTGACTCCTGCTGCCTCTGCACATCCCCCAAGCCCCCGGCTCCCAGTCAGACACGGAGAAGCCAGCAGAGCCCTTTTCCTGAGCATTCCCGAGGGGATCCCTCGTCCCAGCCCGGGACCCCCGCGGACTCCGGCACGGGAGCCAGGACAGCAGCCGGAGCTGCCGATGGCGCGGCACACCTGGAGGGAATTAGGGCGCCCTTCACCTCCCGCCAACCTCGTGTAGAGCGAATTCCTGCGGTTTCCCATCGCAATTGCTGCAAATTATACGAGAGCCACGTTTCGTTTCGTTTCATCCCGACGGGAACGTGCCCCTGGCCAGTGCCACTCGGAGCTGCCGCCACGCCTGGCCTGGGGGACCCTTCCAGAGCCCCCCACCACAATTTCCCTTCTTTTTCCCTGATCCCGTGGGAGGTGGGGGCGCGGGGCTGGGGAGCAGATGTGCGCGCAGCTGGATGCGTGCCCAGATGTGCAGGGGGAGGGGATGCCGGGGGTGATGGGCTGCCCTCGAGGGGCTTTTCAGAGGCCGCCATCGGGCCGGGGACCCCCGCCCGGTGCCAGCGCTGCCGCAAGCCGTGCGGCCATGTGTGTTATGCACACATACGAGCACGCCCATCTCCGTGCCTTTCCACGCACGGATGCGTGTCCTGGTGCATTCCCGCACTGCCCTGGCCGCGCTCAGCTCTCGGGGGTGCCCCCAACCACGGGGACCCCCTTGGTCCTCCAGCACCAGCGAGTCCAGTCCTCCGGGCCGGCAGGAGCGCCCCCCCGCTCCGCCGCGCGGACACGTCACTTCCTGCGGCGGCGGCGGAAGGCGGAAGTGCCGCTGTGGCCGGTGCCGGGTCGGGGCGGGCCCGGCGGGGCCATGGCGGGCACGGCCGGCTGAGGGGACCGGGGCACCGGGCGCTCCGAGCCGGCCGCGGGGCTCGGGGAGCGGCCACAAACCGGCTCCCCCGGCGCGGGGATCCTCCGCCGCGAGCCATGGCGGCGGCGGCGGCGGCGGGTTCCAACTGGGGCCTGATCATGAACGTGGTGAACAGCATCGTGGGGGTGAGCGTGCTCACCGTGCCCTTCTGCTTCCGACAGGTGAGCGCCGGGCCCTGCGGGGTCCTGCCGGTGTGCCCGGGCCGGGTGTGGCCGTGGTTCCCGGCTTGGAGAGGAAATTTAGCAAAGGAAACGCCTCAGAGCCGGAGCGGGCATCTCGTGTTCCAAACGCCGCGTTCTTCTCAGTCCTGACGTCTCCAGCTCAAAACTTGTGCCCCACACTCTGGGGTTTTCCCTGCCCTGTGCCCTCCAGCTGATGGTTTCTGCCTGTCTTGTGAGGAGAAGGGAGAAGTTAAATCCAAGGGTTTACCCACATGATAAATGTGACTTTTCCGAGTTGCCGTGCCCCCTGCCCCTCCCTGGCACCTGGGGCTGTGCCAGGCCCCTGCTGGGTGCCCCTGGGTCCCGGGGCAGGGCCTGCCTGGGCAGTGTGTGGTGCCAGCTGCTTGTTGATAAATCAGCTTGCAGCAGAGCTGGCACCTCGGGGTCTGCCTGCAGGGATGAGCCAAGGTGGGAATTCTGCTCCACAGCTGCTCCCAGTTTGCTGCTCAGGGCCTGGACTGGTGCAGCTGGGAGCTGTGGGAAGCAGCTGTGTGTGTTCCACGTGTCCCTGTGGGTGATGTGGAGCTGGTGGGAAGGGGACAGAACTTCCTGAAAGAGGGAAAAATGTGGCTGGAACACGGGGGGAGCATGGCTGGGCTGTGGCGGGGAGCTGACCCCCATCTCCTGCCTGCTCCTTTGCAGTGTGGGATCCTCCTGGGGGCCGTGCTGCTGATCTTCTGCTCGTGGATGACCCACCAGTCCTGCATGTTCCTGGTGAAGTCGGCCAACCTCAGCAAGCGCAGGACCTACCCCGGCCTCGGTGAGAGCCCGGCCCCGGGGCTGCTCCCCAGCCCTGCTGCTCCTCAGGCAGCTCCTGACCTTCCTTGGCTCCCAGGCTGCGTTTCCTCAGCGGTGCTGTTGGAACAGCAATGCTTTTTCCTTGCTGCAGTTCCCAGTTTCCTGGTGCTGCCTCGGCCTCTCCCGGGGCGGTGCTGCTGGATGCTGCTCCCACAGCCCTGTTAATGGGTGCTGAGTTGTTTTGACTCTGCGGGGCAGGGAGGAGATGATCCAAACCCCAGCTCCCGGGAGCCATCTGGGATGAATTGTGGGGCTGGGATGAATTAATGATGGGTCTGGGCACGAGTTCCCCACCCAGCCAGCGCTGCCGGGACAGCGGGTCCTGCCAGCCTGGCACGGAGCTGGGCTGCCTGCATCCGAGCTGGGAGCTCCTTTATGGCTCAGCAGAGAGGAAACGGAGCGAGCTTCCAAAGGGCTGAGAAAACAAAAACATCTGGAGGATCCCTGGGTGGGTTTTGGCTCTGCCAAAACCTCGGAGCTGAGCGCTGGCGCTGGGATTGGCCCCTGCTCATGGCCTCTCCTGGGATCCTGGCTGCCCTGGGGAGCAGGAGGAGGTGTTTGGGTTCCAGTCCTTGCCACTGGCATATGGAGCAGCAGGAGAACTCTCCTTGTCCTCGTTCTGCCTTGCTTTTCAGTGGGAGGAGGGAGCTGGCTGGCGCTGCCCTGGCACAAGGGCTGCCAGCAGCTGCTGGCAGATGGGTTTGCTCCTCCCAGGAAGCACATCCCGACTGCTATCTGCTAGGGACGGGAACGACGGAGCAGCCCCGTGGCTGGGAGGTTGTTTGGGTGCCAGGGGGAAGGGGGAGCCCCCGGCCCAGCTGCCGCTGCTCCCTGCCCTCACAGGACGCCTTTGTGTGCCGCTTCCCGGAGCACAGAGAGTGCCCTGCACCTTGGAGCGTGCCCCGGGGAGAAGGGATGCTCTGCCCGCCCAGCAGCCAAGGGGCTGCCATACAGAGAGGGCCAGCAATGCTTCCCAGCTTCCTCCTGGCAGGGGGGCTGGCAGCAGCCGTGCCCGCCGCGGTGCCCTGGGAGAGCTGCCACGCGCTCCCGGTGCCCGAGGCCGGGCAGCTCCACACAGAGCCCTTTGTCCCCTCAGGCTGGGCCCGGGGACATCTGCGGGGAGGCTTTGGCACGGAGGGAGGTGGTGCCCATTCCCTGCAGGCGGGCAGAGCCTTCCGGAGGAGCCGCAGCAGCCACGGCTCCGGCACAAAGGCTGTCCCAGGGGAGGGCTGCAGGGAGAGCTGGGGGAGGAGGGAAGTGGGAGGCAGTTCCCACGTGGGTTTTAACCAGGAGATGAGTGGATCCCTCCCCTTCCGGCAGCACTGGGGCTGTGCTGGGCAGCTCAGCCCTGCAGGGCGAGGGGGTGAAGCTCTGTCCCAGGAGCCACGCTGGTTTGAAAGGCTTCTCCAGGTATTGAGCAAGCTGTGCCCAGTTTGGGGGCGTTCCAAGATCCCATTCCAAGGAATTGACTCTACCTTTCATTTTACTGTTGTTGCCTCCCGGAGAAGATAAAGAATCCCATTTTCCCATTGGCTCCAGGTGGGGACACCTGCCCACAGTGTTTGGAGGCTTTTTCTCATGGAGCATCAATCCAAACAGCAGGGGAGATGGGCTGGTTCCAGCATCACCCGGGGCTGTGTCCTTATCCAGAGGCTGGAATGTGCTCTGGGAGAATGGGCAGCACCATTCCTCCATCCCCCACCCCGAGCTCAGCCTGTTACTGACCCATCTCCAGGGGGGATGTTTTCCTCTTGCTGGCTCCCCTTTCTCCTCCCAGACCCTTTGTCTGTGGGCCTGACCCCCCCAGAGCTGTTGCCTTTTCCCTCGTGGCTGTGAATTCCCAGAGGAGAGCAGAGCGGCCGCTCCCCGTGCCCGGGCACGCTGCCTGGTGGCGGCTGTCCCACTGCCCTGTCACTGAGCCAGCAGCTATTTTGGGTGCTCCCCCACATCCCTGCTCTGGGCTGTGGGTCCCTGCCGTGCCTTTTGCTCATTCTGTGGGAGAACATCTCGTTTCCTGAATTTTTAGCTCGAGTAGAGTCCAAGGAAATCAAGAGTTGAAGCTAATATTTAAAATAGCAGAAGAAGCTTCCAGAAAGGATTGGAGTTTGTTTTCTGGCGGGCGCTGGGAATGTTGGGCTGTGCCTTGAGGGAGGCAGAGGGGACTCCAGGGTGGTGAGTTCATGCTGGACCTCACTGGCAGATTTGGGCACTGTGGTCTGGGTTTGGCACCCGAGCTCCCCATTCCCGTTCTGCCCAGCAGGAGCTAAAAATAGAAGCAAAGTTTTCTTGGCATTGTCTTTTTAAGAGAAAACCCAGTGATTTGAGGACTACTGAGCATTTTCTGCTCCAACCCCAGGATGGGAGGGGGGAAAGCAAAGCCTTGGCAGCAGCCCTTTGGTGTGGGTTGGGAGCACTGGGTATTCTGGGAATGGGATTGAACGTTCTGGGCACCAGCTCAGCTCTCCCAGCCAGCCATGCTGGGCAGCCCAGTTTGAGGGGGAAGATAAAAATAAAAAGGGGACTTGGACTGGAATTCTGCACCACTTTAACTTTCGCCACACACAATCTTGTACAGGAATATTTTCTCTCCCATTGCCTTTAATGGCTGCCATGCGTGGCTGCTGCTTCACACCACTTCTGGTTTTAAATAGAAAAAAAAAGAACCTGCTTGCTGGCTTTCCCTCATCCCTGCTCCTGTCTTATGTGGTTTTCAGTTTCCAAAGGGAAAGGCTGAAAAAGAAAGTGGGAGGGTGAGGGAAAGGGCCCCAAAATACCAGTGGTGGGTTCCTGCTGCACTGCCCTGTGTCACTGTTGGTGTCTAATTGTGAACTGACATCTTGCCCTGTTCTGGACCTTTCTTTGACTAACTTCCACTCTTTTTTCCCTTTCATGCCAGCATTTCATGCCTATGGAAAAGCAGGAAAAATGTTGGTGGAAACAAGGTAAATCTGCTGCTGATTCCAAGCGTGAACAGTTTGGGTGTCTGTGGTGAAAACCTTTCTGAGCCTTGCTGTGCTCTCCTTCCTTCCTGTGCTGCCTCCTGGAGTTGCTCAGGAGGCTGGGGAGATGCCCTGAGCACAGCTCCCAGGTGTCACCTCCATCCCTTCAGCACTTCCCAGGCTCTGGGAGCACAGAAGGAGGGGATGAGCTGCTCTGCTGTGAAATCACAGCCACAGTGTCACTCGTGGCAGCTTTCCAGGGGTGCCATCCCTGCTGCTGAGTTAGTGGGAGGGAGTGTTTGCTTCCTTGGATCCCGGGATCTGCTCTGCTCCTGCCCTCTGTGCTCCCTTCCCTGCGAGATGCCTTGAGGGGGAATCCTGCCTCCATCTCTGCTTCCTCCCATGACCCCAGTGCAGATGTCAGGTGCTGGCACAATCCTCACAGCCCTGCTTTTTCCAGCAGGGATTTTTTTCCAGGCGTGTTGAGCCCGGGGCCGGCAGCGGTGCCGGCTCCTTCGCTCTTCCCAGCTGCAAACTTCTGCTCAGCACTAAAAATACACAGAATATTCCTCAGATGTTTCTTGTCCATGCAGGCAGAGGCTGTAATTGCCACAGGGATGTTCTATAATTGGAATTGGGAAGGAAAGTGGTCCAGCAGTGGGAGGAGAAGCAGTTCATGGACAATCTTTTCATTAAAGTGTGGTCCATTGTTGGAGAGCCCACTGGATATTGAGACTCTCATGGCAGGGTCCTGCTGTGGGTGTGGGGCTCTGAGAGCCTCGTGCTGATTCTTTTGAATTTTTCCAGGAGTTCTTGCCATCTCCAAGATTAGTTTTCCTTGTTTTTTTCCCCCGTGGCTCCCAACAGGAGTTAAACCCCTGCATGGACTGTGGGCAGCGCTGTGTCTCTGAATGTTTGGTGTGGATGGAGGGTGTCTGGTGGCTGTTTTACTGGCATGGAGTGCAGAAGGGGTGTCCTGCTCTTCCCAACACTGAGGATGGGAGTGTGACCCTGCTAACCCATCCCTTTTTGTGTTTGCAGCATGATTGGGCTGATGCTGGGCACTTGCATCGCGTTCTACGTCGTCATCGGCGATTTGGGCTCCAACTTCTTTGCCCAGATGCTCGGATTGCAGGTGAATAAATCACTCCTGCAGTGCTCCTAGGCCTTGCACTGAGCCCTGAGTCCCCTGGGTACAGCACAGCTCCTGCCTCGGGGTGTGCTCAGCACCCCCAGGGGGGCTTTGTGGGGTCCCCTCACGGAGGGATCCTCGTGCACGGAGCCTCGGCTCTGAGAGTTCTGGGAAACTCAGACATGGCAAACAATCAGCTGTGTAAAACTCCAATAAGGCATTTCCATCAAAGGAATTCTTTTTAACTTGGTCCCTTATTAATTCTGGAGCAGATTCCTGGGGGAGATAATGCTTCCTACCTTAATTCCTGCCCCAGTGGGTAGGGACAGGCAGTTCCTCTGCCCGAGCTCTCCTCCCTGTAGTTCAGGAGGGATTTTTGTCCTGTCCCTGGCCGGTTTTGTGGCCAAAGTCTCTGTGTTCCTGCCTCCTCAGCCGTGTGATGAGCCTGCTGCTGGCTCAGGGTGCTCAGAGGCAAGAGGTGCTCCTCAGAGCCGGCACGAGGGCCGTGCAGAGAAGCAAAAGGATTTTTGGTGGAGTGTTATCTGTGCTGCCTGATGCTCCTAAGCTCAGATTAAGGGACTGTGAAGTTAAAAAAGATGCGTTGAGGCTGCAGCCAAATTAGGTATTAAATATTTCCAAGCATTCCAGAGTGTTCTGCTATAATAAATACCAGTGTGAGGCTTTGATTAATTTTCTGGATTGGAGTTTTCAACACTTTCAATTTCTCGTCTTCCCAAGTAAATTTAGATTTTATTTAATTGCATGAAAATACCTAAATAGCTTGTGCTGGATTAGCATTTAACCCCCCCAGCCACCCCCCAAATTCTTCCAGCTCGGACCTGTCACACACTGCAGAGCAACAGTGGCACCCAGTGACTGTCTGAGCTCAGCACAGACAGAACCCGCAGAGCTCCGAGCCCGCAGCACCTTCAGACACCTCCAGACACGGAACTGCACTGTTCAAAGTTGCTTTCACTCTGGAAAGACGAGCCATGCCAGGGTGTGCTGCCTGGGGGGTGTTTGCTGTCCCCCCTGCTCCAGGTGCTGATGCAGGTCTGTTCTGCAGGTGTCGGGCCTGTTCCGCATTGTGCTGCTCTTCGCTGTCTCGCTGTGCATTGTCCTGCCCCTGAGCCTGCAGAGGAACATGATGGCCTCCATCCAGTCCTTCAGTGCCATGGCTCTCATCTTCTACAGCGTGTTCATGTTTGTGGTGGGTACGGACACCAGGCTTCCCCTTTTCCTCCTTTCTGTTCATTTTTGATGAGCAGTTTCACATCCCCAATGCTCCTGTGATTCCCTCGTGGAGCTCCAGCCCTGTCTCACCCCCATTTCAGGACTGGAAGGAAAGGGAGGTGTGGGAGTTCTTTCCATGTAACTTTTCTAGTAGGCTGTGCAGGGTCACACCTCAGAGCTGCCTCCTCAGGGAGGTGTGGAACCTCCCAGGAGCTGTGCCTTTAAGAAACCACAACATTCACAAGAGCTGGCTGCATTGAAACATCTCTGGGGATTAGAAACCCCATCCAAGGATATTATAAACAGACATTCAGACATATTTACCTTCTGCTTCCTGTGCAACCCAACTCCTGCCAGTTCTTGTGTCCATGGCAAGGGAGCTCCCTGGCTTCGGCTCCTCCCTCTTTCCATAAAGCTTTTCCTTCTCTTTGGTGAGCTGGTGGTGTTAAATGGCCCTGGAGCAGCAGGTGGGATCCTGTTTTAGGACCCTTTGTCTCTCTCTGCTGAACAGGATTCTCTAAGGCCAGTGGTGTTTCCTGTTTGGATTTAAAAACACACGTTAAAAAACACATTTTAAAAAGTACAAAAGGGTTGCTTTGAACAATGATTCTCACAGTTAATGTGTCGGTGGAAACTGTGTCTGCTGCGGTGTCTGATGGCATCAAACAAGGGGGGAATGTCCTAGATCCCTTGGAATACTCCCTGGGTCCTTGGTGGCCCTGGGAGCTGGGTGGGTGGGATGTGGAGCTGGGGGATTGGGATGGGGCTGAGCTGGCAGCTCAGAGCTGCCTGTTCTCCCAGCCTGGCATTGCTGCTGCCCTGGAGCTGTTTGGGGCTGGCTGCTCACCCCTGCTGTCTGTGGTGCTGCAGGTCGTGGTGTCCTCCTTCAATCACGGGCTCTTCAGCGGGCAGTGGCTGCGGCGAGTCAGTTACATGCGCTGGGAGGGCATTTTCCGCTGCATCCCCATCTTTGGAATGTCCTTTGCCTGCCAGTCGTAAGTACCTGCCTTTCCCAGCCCTGGCAGTTGTTCCTGCAGTGAGTTTGTGTGAGGGCACGGGGTCAGGAGGATCTGCAAGGGATAGATACCATCTGCTTTGGTGGTTTGTTTTCATCAGAGTGCTTTACAGCTCGCTGAAGTTCAGCCTCTCATTCAGTCCTGACCCTTTTGTTACCCAGAGCCTTTTGTTATTCCATTTCACCTGGGAGTTCTTGTAATGGAGCAACATGAGACCACTGGAGCCAAGCAGCTCCTCGGGAGCTTCTGGTGCAGCTGCAGGAGGGATGAAATTCCCCTGGTGTGACCCCCTGAGTACTGAATGCTGGGGGCTGCTCTGCTCCCCCACATTTCCTGGAGGGCACTCTGAAGATCACACAGCTGTTGGGCTTTGGAGGGCTGTTCCTGCATTTCCAGTTCCCTGGTGTAGTGGCACATGGAGGGAGGTGAGAGCAGACCAGGCTGTTTCCACCTGCCCAGTTCCCTGGGTCTGTGAGGGTTCCTGCTGACAAGAAGGGGAGGGCAGGCCAGGCTGTCCCAGGTTTTCAGCAGCATTCCCTGCTGCACCAGGACAGCTCTAACCAGTGTAGATGCAGCCCTGGGCACGGGGAGGACTGGCCTGCTCTGGAAGGACCATCCTCCTCTGGAAGCCTGGCAGAGCTGGGCTTTCCCCTTGCAGTTCCAGCAAACAGGTCTCGTGCCAACAGTAAATGAATGTGACAGATAAAATTTGCTCAGACTGCTGTGTTTACACCCACTCCAAGATCCAAATCATCATTTCCCACTTACTGGCTCTCTTGGCAGCTCAGATCCTACCCCGGCACACTCCAGGCTTGCTGTTTAATGTCTCCATTACAACTGGCAAAGGGAATTGTGTTCTCTTGCAGCTTTACCTTGTTAACAAATCCCCAAATCCCTTTTTTTTTTCCTGTTCCTTATGGAAGCCATGCAGTACCCAGAACAATTTTCCTGGGAATTGGAAATGCAGGGAAATGGTTTGGTCTGGACCTGTGTGTGTGCCTAAATATGGCTCCATGGCAGCACTTTTGTGGCAAACCCAATCTAAAGCTGTGTGTTTTTTCCAAAGATCAGGAAAATACACTCTCCCCAGCCCAGGCAATATTTATATATTTTTTTTTAATTTCTTTCCATCTGTGTATTCTCTCTCTATCCACCCTCTATATGTTCTATTCCTCTCTCTATGTGTAGGTTATCTATATAGTCTCAGCTGGGTAGATTTAATTTTGCTAACCTCTGAATCACCTTTTTAACCATCTCACACCCTGCAGACCCTCCCTGTTTCCCTCTTTTTTCCTTCCCAAGCCTGAATGTTTGGCTGGACCCTTCCCTCAGAGGCTGAAGGTCAGAACGTAGCTGGAGGTGGCTGTGGAGAGAGCAGGGAGGAATCCCAAATGGAGAGATTCCCAGGGAAGCCAGTCTCCTTTCTCCAGCAAGGAATCCTAAGTGGAGGGACTTTGGGAAGCCAGTGTTTCTACCAGGGAGAAATCCCACAAGGAGAGATTCCCAGGGAAGCCAGTCTCCTTTCTCCCAGGGAGGAATCCCAAGAGGAGAGATTCCCAGGGAAGCCAGTCTCCTCATTCCCAGGGAGGAATCCCAAATGGATCTCCCAGGGAAGCCAGTCTCTTCACTCCCAGGGAGGAATCCCAAAAGGATCTCCCAGGGAAGCCAGTCTCCTCACTCCAGGGAGGAATCCCAAGAGGAGAGATTCCCAGGGAAGCCAGTCTCCTCACTCCCAGGGAACAATCCCAAGAGGAGACTCCCAGGGAAGTCCTTGCTCCCTGCTGGTCCCTCCAGCCCCAGAGCTGACGTGCTTGGCCTCCTTTGATGTTCAGGGATGAAGGGTTAAGGATCATTCTGCTGGACCCCAGCCTGACACACTTCCTGGGAATGGCTTGGTGCCCACTGGAGCTGGGAATACCCCTTCCCATCTCCCTGCAGGCCCTCCCCTTCTCCCAAGAGTTCGCTAGAATTAAAGTAACAAGAGGTTAATGAGTTGCTAAAATATGCACCTGATGTCAAAAGGAACGTTCCCCACGCTTTCCAAGGCTGTAAATACCCCAAATCCCAGGGAATTGGCACTCCTGGCTTTCTGTGCAGTGAGCTGAAGTAGGACAGGCGCTGTGCTGGGGTTTGTTTGTTTAATTTTCCTTCAGACAGTGGGATGCTCCAACCTTCTTCCCGCTTTTCCTCTGTAAACACTGTGTTGCTTTAATTATCAGCACGGAGAGCTCCAAGAACAATAATCTCTGGCGCTGGGGCTGGCCTGGAGCCACCCGTGGCCCCAGGAACAAACGGTCATTCATTTTGCAACCCTTTCTGAACCCAAATGTTTACATCACACGTTTCGCTCCACGTGGTGGGGTGGGGAGAGCAGGAATATTTTTGCAACACTTAAAAGTTATGAGTGTTCTGAAATCTCTTGGCATTAGCAGTATAAATTGTGGAATAGCAGCAGGTGTTTATGCTCCAGAGGGGGAAGGTGTCAGGGATTTGTTGCTGCTGGGCTGAGGCAGAGAATGGGCTGGGATTGGGGGTTTTCTCCTGTTTCCTGCAGGTTTCCTTAAATATTTTACCCTTTTTGCAGTCAGGTCTTGCCTACTTACGACAGCTTGGATGAGCCGTCTGTCAAAATCATGAGCTCCATATTTGCTTCTTCCTTAAACGTGGTCACCACCTTTTACATCATGGTAGGAACTTCCCCTTCTCCTCCCTTGCCAGAAATCTGGAGGGGCCACAGGGATGAGGGTTTATCTGCAGCTGGGGCTGGTTTCTGCTTATCTGTATTTATTCTGACAGATAAGTCCTCGTGCTGAAAGCAGAGTTAGGTGGGAGGTGATGAACCCAAGAGCACAGGGGGCATTGGGAGAATCCAGGTTTTCAGAGCAGCACATTTCCTTGGATGGAGGCACAGTGGAGGCCCAGCTCTTCCCAGGCCCAGCCTGGAGCAGGGGTTGCTGCCCAGAGTTTGGGAGAGCTTTTTCCAGCCTGTTTTGAAGGAAGTTATGCCTCATAAGGCAGCAGTTCATAAAACTGGGTTAATAATTCCTGAGGAGAGCCTTGGCCCATGAGCCAGGCTGCTGCAGGGAATTGTGACAGCCCCTCTGTTGGAGAGGGACACTCCATGGGCCTGGCAGAAAGCAAAGTGTGTCCTCTAGGAAAACCCCTGCATTTGATGAGAAATTTGCTTTAAGCAGTTCCCACTCTTGATTAATGACCTGTCCCAGGTTTTGGGGTGCCCGTGGAAGTGACCTCACGCTCCCACTTGGCTGCTCCAATGGAAGGTCATGTCCTGCCCCCTCTGTGGGGAGCAGCTGTGAAGTGTTGGGAGTCCAACCCTGCTCTCCTCCCCAGGTGGGCTTCTTTGGCTACGTGAGTTACACCGAGGCCATTGCTGGGAACGTCCTGATGAACTTCCCTTCCAACGTGGTGACGGAGATGATCCGAGTGGGATTCATGATGTCAGTGGCTGTGGGGTTCCCCATGATGATCCTGCCCTGCAGACAGGCACTGAACACCCTGCTCTTTGAGCAGCAGGTAAGATCCCAGGGCTGCCTCGGGGTGAAGCTTGATTTTGAAGGGTTTTTGTGGTGACTCTTTGGTCTCTGACTGGGCCCCAAACCTGCCTTGGCTCCCTGAGACTCTGGTGATAATGGCATGTGGCAGGTACTCACTATCCTGAGGGACAAAACCTCAACTCCCATAAAATCCTCAGTGCACAGGGTGTGGTGACAGTGCAGCAGGGGCCTGTGGCCATCTCTAAATCCTGCTCTGCTCAATAGTTAATCCCTGGCACTTGGAGGTTCGTGTCCTCTGCAGAGGATTCCATGGGCCAAAGGAGTGGAGTTCCCAGTGTAAAGCTCATGTCCCGTGGCTGCTGCTCCCTGCTGTTCTGGGGATTCCAGCTCTGGCACAAGCATGTTGCACAGCTCAAAACTGAGGTGGTTTCTTCCCCTCAGAAAGAGGGAGAAATGTGCTTTTGGAAGCAGCAGAGCCTCCTCATTTCCTGCTGCTCCAGCTGCTGTCCTTTTGCTGGCCAACTCATTGAGCTCAAACTCCTGTTCCCGGCCTCGGAGCCCAGCCCAGCCCCATTTCTTCTTGCTTCCTTGTGTGCCTGCTGATTCCTGCTCCATTATTCTCACCCAGCACCTTTGTCAGCAGCCCTGGAGCAGCCCTTTCCTCTCTGGGTTCGGATGTCCCCTTCCTCCAGCGCCTCCCGGGCTGCGGTGCCGGGGCGGGGGCGGGCAGTGGGATAAGGGATCCAGCCCTCTCCCACACGTTCCACCTTTCCCAGGGCCAGCTCCTCAGCCAGCCTTTGTGACTGAAGCTGGTCTGTGTGCTGGAGACTGTGAGTCCCTTGTGGCAGTGGCGTGTTCTCCTCTGTGCATTGTGCGCACGGAGCGCGCCGATGGGATTCAGCAAATAACAGTGAGAGATTGTGGGAATGTTCTGAGGCCTTTGTGTATCTGCATAAATAGAAACCTCTTAGGCAGGAAATAAAACTTGAGCAATTTATAGCTCTAAATCCTGCCACTTCTGCCTGTGAGAAGCCCCCGGCTCTTTTCTCACGTTGGGAGGGCCTGAGCATGGGGGCAGACTCGGTGAGAGCCAGCGGGTGCAGAGGAGGAAGCGCTGGAAACACTTGGGAACACTTTGGATCTCGCCTGGGCTCAGCTCGTGGCTGGCTGGGCTCTGAAGGTGTCGCTTTGCCTTCCTCCCCCATCTGTGCAGCAGCGGAGCTGGGACCCGCTGGGTCTGCAGGGCACACTGGGGCCTCTGCCTTCCACCCGGGAAGATGGGATGGGATGGGAAGCAGAGGGCCTCTGGAATTCCTCCAGCAGCACCCATCCTCCCCTGTGGTGTCCCTGGGGTGTCTCCCAGTCAGAGGGGATGGCCCTGCTCCCAGAGCTGTGGGGAGCACCTCTCCCTGTGACCTCTCCCTCCTGCTGCACCCCTGAGCTCCTTCCTCCTGCCCCTGGCTTGGGCTGTTCTCCGAGTCCCTGCACAGGGTCTGGGCCACAGCTGAGGGGATCACAGCTGGGATGGGCTGGGGCTGCAGGGAGCATTGCTGAGGGAATTGCTGAGGGTGTGGGGACTGGGACACCAGAGCTCATCTCTCCCTCCCAGCAGAAGGACGGCACCTTCGCTGCTGGGGGCTACATGCCCCCGCTCCGCTTCAAAGCCCTGACGCTGGCTGTTGTGTTTGGAACCATGGTCGGAGGCATCATGATCCCGAATGGTGAGTGAGGAGCTGGGAACAGGGGCTGGCTGCTTTCTCTGGTCTCTGTTATTTGTTTTCCTGGCTGGGGTGACCAGACTCACACCCCATCCTGCCCGGGGGCTCTGGCAGCTGTCCCGTGCTGCTGCTCTGGCACTCCTGGAAAAGACCTTTGCTGACTTTTTCTCTTCTTCCCCAGTGGAAACAGTCCTGGGCCTGACAGGTGCGACCATGGGAAGCCTCATTTGTTTCATCTGCCCAGCTCTTATTTACAAGAAGATCCACAAGAATGCGCTTTGTTCACAGGTCAGTGCTGATGCTGCTTGACATCCCCCTAAGCCCTCTGCAGAGCCTGGGAACGTGCTTCGTTTGGCTGCAGCACAGACACTGCTCAGCACCTCCTCCAGCCTCCCCCTCCAGTCTGCCCAGTACAGGTGGGAGCTGTTCTGGGTGGGTGTCCACCACTTAGGGATGCACAGACAGTGGCAGAGGTGCTAGCACAAGTTGGAATCACCAGCTCTTTTTGTCCCTCCAGCAGCAAGTGAAACAGTCATTTTGTGCATAAAATGCTGCTTCCAGTCCTCCTCGGGGTGGGATTCAGGTTTTGGATCCTCAGAACAGGAAATCCAGGCAGCCTGTAAAACCTTAAAGCCTCACATCCCGACCTGCCTGGGCTGGGTAAAACAAACAGGGCTCCACGATGTGGTTTGTGCTGCCGACCCTCAGCTTTCTGCTTTCAACCAAAATAATAGTAAAAAAGGAACACACACATAGAGGTGTTGCTTCAGGAATTGATTTTCTGAGGGATTGGGGGCGTTCAGAGGCTGTTAGAAGTTTAACTTTTCCTTTTGCTCCAGTTTGAATTGGCCTCCTCAGGGACTGAAACAAAGTGGCTCTTTGCTGGGCTTGATCTCTCTGCTCCTGCAAATACTTTGGGCTGAAATTAACAGGTTTTGGGGTTTTTTTCCTAACAATAATTTAATCCACTGCCTTTTTCACAGGCTTCTGTCCCAACATTTCCAGTCAGGACAGTGCTGGGCTGGAAATAAGGTTTTGGGCACAGTGTGGAGTCAGCAGGAGAGAGCAGCACGTTTTTGTGGGGCCCACAGAACTGGTGGCTTGTTCTCTGCTTAATGACTTGTGGCTTTGCAAACCTATGTGAATTTTTTAAGCAGGGTGTGTTGTTTTTTTTTTTTTCTTCCCTGTGCTTTCCCTGACACAAGGAAGTAGTCCAACTTTCCAGCTTTCACTCTGAATTCTGACACTTAGCTCCGAACTTCTTTGAGTGAAACCCCGAGCAGGAGTCTGAATGCCAGCCTGGGTTTTTCAGGGAAACAAAGAGCACTTTCAAGAATTGCTTTCTATTCCGGCTGAGCCAGAGTGTTTCCCTGCAGTGCCTCGAGGCTGCACTCAGGACAGGCTGAGCTCTGAGCCTGGCTGCTCGGGGTGGGACATTGGGGCCCTCACAATGCCTGACCCCAAACCCGGTCACGAGGCTGAGGGAGATGTTTGTCCTGCAGAAATCCCCACAAAGGAGGAAGGGCTTATCTAAAGCATCAGGCCCCGGGTTACTTCTCGAGGGGCTGGCAGCAAGCTGTCCAGCCTTCCCTGAGTGATCCATTGCCTGTCAGGTTTGCATTCCTGCTTGGAGCGAGAACACACCTGCCCGCCCTGCTCAGCACCTCCCGCCTCCACAGCCCAGCTCGGAGCCCACCCTCTCCTCCCTCCAGGTCTTTGCAAAGGCTCATTTATTCTTTCCCTGGAGCTCTGTCTTTGGTCTCCTCCTTCATTCCTGCACTCCTTTGATCAGGTGCTCCACTCCATCAAAGTCAGCTCCTGAGGAAGGTGGCGGGCGGGGGGAGAATGCCAGCCCTGGGCTCAGCTGTCCTTCCCTTCTTGTCCCTGTCCAAACAGTGTACATGGACGTTCTCCCTCCTTCCCTGCATCAGCTTGAGCCTCTTTCAGAGCAGCAAACCTCAGCACCAGCTTTTACACTTCTCAGGGTTATCTTGGCTCTTGTGCTGCTGAGAACTGGCTGCTTTTATCGGGCCACTTCTGGCACCCAGCAGCGTCCAGTGTGGGGCAGGTGGTGACGTGAAAGGCCAGGTTTTTACAGGAGAGGTGCAAACTGAGGCTACGAAACAGGGATTTTGCACTAGAAGCAGTGAAGAGGATTTCAGGTGGGGGAGGAAAATGGGCAGATGTTTGCTGGCCAGCAAAGGGCTTCTGCTGAGGAACTGGGAAGGATTGGAGCTGCTGCTCAGCTGGGCTGGGCTGGGAGTGCCCTGGTTGGAAGGGTTAGGTTGAAAAGGCAGGTCCCAGAGCAGTTAAAAAGCCCAGAGTCAGGCACACAGTGCTGTGAGTGAGCAGGGAGAGCGTTCCCTTTCTTGTGGTTAAGCATCTGTTCCTGTAAAGGTCCGTGTCCCGCTGCTCCCCGGGAGCCCCGGTTTGGCAGCGCTGCCGTGGGGCGTGTGGGGGTCTGTGAGCAGAGTGTGTAACTGCCAGCAGGAAGGTGTTGCCTTCCCAGTGTTGACACAAGCTTGTCCGAGAGGCCCCTCCTAGGGAGGCCGGAGTTGCTGTTGTCCCAGTTGGGGAAGAGGAGCTGCCGGAGGTCAGGAAGTGACCCCTGGGCTCGCTCCTGTGCGGGTGGAAAAGAGATTCCCTCTGCCCTTCCCTGGCAGCGCAGGGGCCAGCACACCTTCCCCAGCAGCACATCCAGGGGTACAGCCCCCCAGGCACAGCAGTTCTGAGGAGGGGGCTGGCAGTGACCAGGGCTCTGCATTCCTTCGCCGTGACTCCGTCCCTCGGAACGCTCGCTGTCCAGGAGGACGGCGATGGCCTCACGCCACACAAATGCAGCGTGTTTGCTTCCCGTGGCTGCAGGAGAGGGCTGAGCTAATGGCTCTGCTGTGCAGAGCTGGATCATCTTCTGGCAGGGTGGAAGGAGGGCCCAGGGAACGCGACCGGCCGAGGAAACGGCCGCGTAAACTTCCTCTGCTGAATTCCTGTCCGTGGCTCCCGGGAGATGGGCCCTGGCCCTGCTGAGCTGCCCAGGGCTTCCCACAGCCTCTCCCGTGTCTGTGCTCAGAGGGGCTTCTGCAGAAAGGGCTCTGCTCTCCGTGGGATCGCTGGCTCTGAGGAAGATCATTCCCCTGGGACCAGAGCTTGGCTCAGACGTGCCTTGCAGTGCTGAGCCTCCCCTCGCTCCAGGGTCTCTGGTGCTCTGGGGATTGCTGCCTCCTCTGCCTGGGTAGGTTCCTTGAGCGCCCGAGTCCTTGCAGCCCTCACTCCCGTTCCTTCAGTTGCCTTGGTGGTCCCCTGAGCACACACCGCCTGCTTTTCCATGGCATGAGCATCTCCGTGGAATTAAGCCAAATCGTGGCCCTCTTTATTCTGGTCTTCAGCTGGGGAGGGGGTAGGTGGGGAGGGGGAGTGGGTGAGGGCGGCTCAGGGACAGCCCAGCCTGTCTCCGACTGCCACGTGTGCCCGTACCCGCTGCTCCGGGAGCTCGCAGCTGAACTCCAAATGTGCAGCAATCAAAGGGGTTTCAATCCGAGGCATTTGAGCCCCTGGTTCCCCACTAAGATAAGAAACAACAAAAATCCTTTTAAAGCATTTAATGTTTTCAGCCGTTTCCTACAGTTCCCTCCTCTCCCACGTTGCTCCTGGTTCCTGTGGCACCAGAATAGATCCTCTTTGTGGAAACGCTCTTCCTCTCCGCTGTTGTTTCTGGAAGGTGCCAGAACAACCTCCCAGGCACAAAATGCATTTGTGCCGGGCTGTGGATTGTGGGAGGGGAGGAAGTGGAGCAGCTCGAGCCCAGGGCAGCAGTGCAGGACCTGCTGACTCGGCGATTGCCCGGTGCTGGGGGGTGGATGGCAGGATATCTGCTCTTTGTGCACCCCGGGCAAGGCAGGCAGCACATTCTGCTCCTGTTTCCTCTGCAGCAGCTCTAAGGTCTGGCCTCTGCTCCCTGGCCACGCTGCCCCTGATCCAGGGCTGCTCCACGTCCCGCCAGCCTTTTCCTTCCCAAGGCGTCGGGCTGTCTGCGGGGCGTGCTGGGAACGGGCCGCCGGGGCCCCCTGGGCCCAGCTCTGACCACGCTGCTCCCTCTTTCTGGGTGACCTCCCTCAGTGGGTGAGGAAAGCATCGGCCCCTCCTCCCCCTCTGCAAGTGCCAGTGTTTTAATTCCTCCTTCCAGTTTCACCTCTCCCCTTGATTTGCTGTTTTCTGGCAGCTTCCAGTGGTGAAGTGCTCCCTGTGGCCGTTCCTGGTTTTCCCCACACTGAGAAGCATCTTTTTGTTGTGCCTTTTGTGAATTGGGATGTAATCTGCACAGTGAGGATTGGGAGGCATGGAGTCGGGCAATGGTTTGGGCTGGGAGGGGCCTTAAAGCTCATCCAGTTCCACCTCTTGCCATGGGCAGGGACACCTTCCACTAGACCAGGTTGTCCAAGTGCCATCCAACACTTCCTATGACTCATGTGGAATTAGATCCTTTTAGATCAATTTGTCATCACATAACAAGCTGTAAAAATTCCTTTGCTGCTCATCACTTTCTCCTTTTTGAGGTAGAGAAATTCCAAGAGCCCTTCCCTCCACGGGATCCAGATTCCACCCTTCTATTTTTATCCTGTTTGATCCTAGCTTTCTGGGAATCTGGGAGTCATTTCTCAGCAGCTTCTTCAGTCCTGGGACCAGGACCTGTGTGTGGACATGTTACCCTTGCTTTCAAAACCAAGGAGTTTTGAGCAGCTCCCTGGAATGTTTGGGAGCTGTAACCAGGCCAGGCTCCTCTGTGCTCAGCCAGACCTGATTTCATGGAGTTCTCATGCTGGGAATACCAGGAAATGAGTCTTTGCAGTAGGACTTGTCTGCCACATGCATTTTCCTATCCCTGTGTCCTGCCCACTCACTTCACTTGCTTTTGAGCCCTTCCAAAGCCTTTCTAACAGCTTCCAGCCTCTGAAACAGCTTCCATTCCAACAGCTTCCATTCCCATGGCTCTACACCCAAATATGAACCTCAGCCAGGAGCAATTGGTTTTCCTGTTTCTCTCTGACATTTCTCTTCTCTCCCTAGCACGTGTCACTGTGCCGAGCTTGGAATTCTGTGGAGGCACCGTGGGAATGCTGTGGGGAGCAGTCCCCTTGGATTTCCTCTGCTCACTGTCCCTCTGTCCCTCTGTGCAGATTATCCTGTGGATTGGGCTGGGCATGCTGGTGATCAGCACCTACACCACCCTGTCTTCCACCAAGGACACCCCTGTGAGGACGGAAGCAATGGGCTTGGAGCACCTGGACAGAGAGGAGAACAGAATTGACCAGGATTCAGTCAAACTTCCAGGTATGTGCTTGCTGGAGTTGGGTTTCCCAGCCCTGTTCCTAGGTCGCCTCTTAAAAAGAAGGAGAAATTTGTTTTCTTTTTAAAGTGTGGTGGAAGCAGGGTAATTTCCAGGCAGCTCCCTGCATCTTCCCAGCTTCCTGAGGCCTTTTCCCAAGAAAAGCTGCACTTTTGTCTGCTGGAAAAATCTCTGTGACCTCCAGTGGTACATTGTGGGAGTTGTTCTTTTGGGAAGGGAAAGGCGTGGTGCAGGCCTGGGATCCCCTGGAGGGACAGAGCAGGGATCCCTATTTGGGATGAGCCCAGTGCCCACCTGGCCCACGGGACTGCTCCCCCTGTGCCAGCCCAAGGACCAGCCATCCATCACCCTCAAAGGTAGGGAAATTTATGGGAACTGCCTCTTTTTTTGGTGCCGAGCGTATAAATTTGGCCTCGGCTTTCTCTCTGACAAAGCCTGTGATTATGCCTCAGCTTTGTTTACCGGTTCTTGTTATTTATTATTTGTTTGCTGGGGCTGCTGATGGAATTACGGCCGCTCCTCCCTTTCCCAGCTGCTCTGGAGCAAGGCCGTGGCGCGCAGGTGCCGCCTGACCCCGCGCTGCCCCTCGGCCCTGCCGCGTCCTGTTCCTTCGCTTCACTTTTGTTTCCTTCTGCTCCTGTGGGGCTTTTTTTTTTGTTCTTTGGAGGCCTTGAAATATCCTCGCAGAGATTGAGAGCGGAAGGGAGAAAGGGGCTGGCTCTTCTGGAGATTATCCTCCCTCCTGGCTCTTGGCTGGGTTCCTGCCCGGCAGCTTGGAGCGTCTCCCACACCGGTGCTGCTGCCGATAACATTCACTCTGGGCTTGCTCCGTGGTGCAGTTTACTTGTGGTTTGCTCGTGGCTTACTCAAGGCTTGTGTGCCTTCCTGGATGCCGGTGAACTCCGAGCAAAAGAGGCTCCCAATCCCTTAATGGAGCCCTCAGCAGGGCCTGGAGGAGGGATGCGATTGAATTCTTCCGTCTTGGTTAATTTTGGAGCAGTAATGGCCAAAGAACAGCTGCTCCTTTCAGGAGGAATCGCTAATGACACGTGTTCTGACTGGGAAAATAAAAAATCCCATAAAACACGGTGTCTGCAGGAGTTTGCTGAGTCTTCTCCCCTCCTCGGCGTGAGCCGGGGTGGTGGGGCGGGATGCCAGGCTCTGATCATCCGAGCGATCCCGGGGCCGCCGGCAGCAGCTCCGAGTGCTGCGGGATTAAATAATCCCACCCGGGAGGAAGGCGGGTTTAGTGCTCCCGGGTCATAAACTTCCCAGGGAGGAGCCCTGCAGTTCCGAGGGAAAGCTCTGCTGTCCCCTGAGGTCCCTTTGCCAATGGAGGCTCCCTCCCCGGGGAGGAGGAAGAGGGGGGAGATGGAGCCGAGCAGAGAAGGGGGACAAGGACCTGCAGGGCGGACGTGGGGCTGCCCCGGGAGAGCCGGCCTGCGATTCCTTGGATCTGTGCCTCTGCAGGATGTCGGCTTGACTAGCAATGAGAGGCGTTAAATGGTGCCCTTCATCCCCCGCCGCGGCTCCCCCTCGTCCTCGCCCGCCTTGTTTTGCAGACGGGAGCTGCCGCCTGGAACGCGGTGCAGCAGCTGCATCCTGTCCCTGCAGGGGCGCAGGATGCGGGCTGGGCTGCCCCCGGCACCTGGGTGCCCTCCGGATGGGCTCAATTCCACACCCGGGGCTGCAGCAGGATCCCACGGCTTCTCCCGGGGCACTGCTGGGTGCCCAGCCCCTTCCCCAGGGCACAGCGTGCCTCGTGCCCCTTCCCTGGCTGCAGGGTGCTGCTCCAGGCTCCTTCCCTGGCTGCAGGGTGCTGCTCCAGGCTCCTTCCCTGGCTGCAGGGTTCTGCTCCAGGCTCCTTCCCAGGCTGCAGGGTTCTGCTCCAGGCTCCTTCCCTGGCTGCAGGGTGCTGCACCCAGCCCTTTTCCTGGGTGGAGGGTTTTCCAGACCCCTTCTTCCAGGCACAAGGTGCATCTGTGCCTTTGGGTCTGAAGGTGCTCAGGACCCATCCCGCTGCCTCTGCCCAGGGCAGGGTCTGTGGAAGCATATTTTGGCTCCAAGAGTCTGGAGAAACATGTGAGGAGGGATTTAGTGCCTGCCTGGGACCATTGCAGCGATCCGAACCAGGAGCAGGGGGAGAAGGGAAGCTTTTAGGTTGCTAATAATGAAATTTTTTGGCAGCCTGGAGAGACTGCCCCTTCCTTGGCTGCAGGGTGCTGCTCCAGGCTCCTTTCCTGGCTGCAGGGTGCTGCTCCCAGCCTTTTTCCTGGGTGGGAGGGTTCTTCCAGACCCTTCTGGACCTTCTTCCAAGCACGAGGTGCATCTGTGCCTCTGGGTCAGAGGGTGCTCAGCCCTTTCCTGGGCACAGGCTTGCTCCGTGCCCTTTCCTGTGCTGCCCCATCCAAGGCAAACCGCAGGGCCTTTCCCCAGCGCTGCCTTCCCCGTCTGCCTCCCGCCTGTCAGCGTGTGAGAGGAGTTTTATTGGCCTCTTTGATGTTGTGGAGCCCAGAACTGGAGAGACTTTCATTAAAGCCCTGCCCCGTGGGCCCGGGGATTATGAATATTAGAACATTGGCCTTTTATGTGAACACGTATTGACCAGCGGCCTCGGAATCGTGTTTTTCCTAACGACACCCAAGTGCCCATTACAGCCCCAGCCTGTGGTGCTGGAGGTTTTACTGTCAGCAGCTCTTCGGGAAAGGGATAAAACCCCTTCCAGCCCCGTCCTGCCGCTCCGCGCCGCGGCTGCGCCTCTGTTAAAAGGTTGCTAAGCTGCCTCTGAAAGCTCAGGAAGGCAATTATCCATTAAAAAAAAAAAAAAAAGCTAATTAGGCAATTTCTCTCCGTATTTAAAGCACCCTCGAGGGTCTCGGGGGGGATTAAGATTTTGTAATATTTTTCAGCTCCTTACTTGATCGTTGCTGCTTCATCTTCTCCCTGCTGTTGTGCAACGTTGGGTAACAAAGCCCTGATTCAGGCTCCTTGTGCAAGAGCCCTTTTCCCGGTGTGCCGGGCACCGTGCTCCAGCCATCCCAGCGTCCTGGGGCATGGGGTGGTCTCTGTTACTCGGACTGGGGCAAAATGTGCGGTTGTGTTTGGCGCACGGCATCCCTGCACTCTCCATCCCTGCACTCTCCATCCCTGCATCCGTGTGCTTTGGCCCCCAAAAGCAAGCTGCCCGAGGCAGGCTGGGTCCCTGCTGGCATTCCCCGCCGGAGCAGCCCCGAGCTGTGTGGAACGTGGCTCCTGCATCCTGCAGGAACAGCTTGGCTCCGCCACGGCTCTCCCTGGTGCTTTGTGCGAGCGAGCTTTTAATAGTGCCTGTGACACAGAAAAGGAACCAGCAGCCTCTGGTAATTTGGGTTGGTTTTTACTGCTGGTGCGTCAGGAGACAACTGTGAACTAATTTCAGGGATGCCATTCCATAACCTTGTGAAATCTGGACCCGTTTCGGGGGGAGGGAGGGCTCCTGGAGGCGCAGCTGGGCTGGGGGCTCCCCGGGGAGGGCCTGGCCCTGCCCTGCTCCGGGTGCAGGGCTGCTGGGCACGTCCGAGGGCAGCGTTTGCCCCCAGCCCTCTGCCCCACTCGCTGGGCTCCGTTTTCCTTGGCACAGGCTCCTGGATCTTGCTCCATGTCGTGCGATGAAGGAATTTCAGCAGATCTGGAGCTGCAGTGGCACGAGCAGGTCCTGAACTCCGTGTCCCTGGTCAGCTCTGGGGTGACCCCCTGGGCTGGGGGTGTGTTCTGGAGCTCCTTGTGCTGTCCCTAAGGCTCCCTCCGGACTGGGGGCGAGCACAGCAGGGCCCATCCCGCTGCCTCTGCCCATGCAGGAGCTGTGGAAGCACATTTCGGCTCCGAGAGGCTGGAAAAACGTGTGAGGAGGGATTTAGTGCCTGCCTGGGACCATTGCAGCGATCCGAACCAGGAGCAGGGGGAGAAGGGAAGCTTTTAGGTTGCTAATAATGAAATTTTTTGGCAGCCTGGAGAGGCTGTTGCCAAACCACAACACACCCAGGCACGCACACACACAAATCAGCTGCAGGACGCCCCGGCTTCCCCTCGTGTGAGCAGAGCTGCCGGAGAGCCGGGGGGTCAGAGCGAACCTCTCGGTGCTGCCTCACACCCCGGCCTCTCCTTGGGAGCCAAAAAGCTTTTACAGCCTCTCAGGCCTTGCCTGTAATGTCCAAGGCTGCTCATAAAACACGACGAGGCGCAGCGTTACTGGAAGATGCTCCAAAGGGACCTGGAGGGCAAGAAGACAGGCAGAGCCCCAGCAAAACTCTTCCCTGCAAAGCACCCGGAGCCCCGGATGGATTTCCAGGCAGCCTGAGAGGTTGTTAATTCACGCCCTGATGATGAACTTAATTTTGTCTCCCGCTGAGCAAATGATGGCTTCGAGGCAGCTTGGCCTTATTGCGGCGTGGAGACTTTTGGGTTTGTGTTTTGTTTGTGTTTTGGGCTTTTCCTGCATTGTTTGCAGAGCGGGGAACGTGCCTCTGCCTGATTTATGATGGAAGCTGCCAGGGACACTCCCGCAGCAGAGCGGGGCCTCCCCGGCCCCTCGGGCTGCCCTGGGCCCGCGGGGGTTCACCTGCTGCTCTGGGCAGGGGAGCTGCTGCCTTTAACTCCTCTGGTTCCTGCTGGCAGGGAGCCTTCTCCCTTCTAATTTCCTTCCTTTTTATTTCCTCCTCTTTTCTTTTTTATTTCCTTCTCTCTTCCTTTTTATTTCCTTCTCGTTTCCTTTTTATTTCCTTCTCTCTTCCCTTTTATTTCCTCCTCTTTTCCTTTTTATTTCCTCTTTTCCTTTTAATTCCCCCTCCTTCCTTTTTATTTCCTCCTTTCCTTTTTATTTCCTCTCTTCCTTTTAATTCCCCCTCCTTCCTTTTTATTTCCTCCTCTTTCCCTCTTTATTTCCTCCTCTCTTCCTTTTAATTCCCCCTACTTCCTTTTTATTTCCTCCTCTTTCCCTTTTTATTTCCTCCTCTCTTCCTTTTAATTTCCTCCTCTCTTCCTTTTTATTTCCTCCCATTTTCCTTTTTATTTCCTTGTCTTTCCCTTTTTATTTATTTCTCTTTCCCTTTTTATTTCTTCTCTTCCTTTTTATTTCCTCCTCTTTTCCATTTTATTTCCTTCTCTCTTCATTTCCTTCTCTCTTCCTTTTTATTTCCTCTTCTCTTCCTTTTTACTTCCCCTTGAACACCATCTCACCGCTCAGCTCGTCGCTCCCATCTGCTGTAGGAACAGCCCTGCCTGTGCTGGGGTTCTCTGGATCCTGCAGTCCTCTCCGACCAGAGCCATCTCCCGCCTCCATGAACCAATTAACAAGAAACTTTCCTCCAATAGAGTAAATAATTTCTTGCACCGGGGCCAGGACTGAGCTGGGAACATCCGCAGCCGTGCCGAGGCTCCCCTCTCCTCCCCTCCCCTCCCCTCCCCGGGCTCCAGCTTCCCAGGCCCCTGGCCAGGGCTGGGCACTGGCTCCTGCAGCCCAGATTTTCCTGAAAAGGAGGAGTGTCCTGCCCTGACTTGCTGAACCCTGGGAAGTCCCTCAATGGAGAGGGGGACCCTTGGGTACTAGACTTGAATTTCTCAGAAAATCCGAGTCCTTTTCCCCTCCCACCATGGCTCCCACAGCGGAGGAACGCGGGGAGCCGGCCAGCCCCGCTCACGTCCCTCCTCTGGGTGTGGAGCTCCGGGCTGGAGTCTGCATTTCTGGAGAGGCTCAAGGTCCTGCTGGCACACATCCCTCTGGGCCAGGAGTTTGTACTTAATTTTTTGTGAATTTTTGTTGTTTCCCCCCCTCCCCGGCTCAGGCAAGGCCCACGCAGCTGAAGTTGTGGCAATCCCTTCTTTCCCATGAGTTCATCTCGTAATAAATCGCACCAGCCCTGCGGAGGGGGAGGAGAAAATGGAAAGATGTTTATAGAATTAATTCCCCAAAGGAAATCACACGGGGGAGGGCGAAGGGGGAAAGAGTTGGGAATTTTTTTTTGTTACAGAAGATAGATTTTTTTTTTTTTTTTAAAAGAGTTTGTTGGATGGAAAAAAATCTGCAGAACAACTTCACTGCTGGGAAACAATTTGATTTCCTTCTCTGCTGCTCTCCAAAGGAAGAGTTCACTCCCTGTGTGGGTTTTCTGCCATGCTGGGGCTGGAAGGGACCCTTCCCGTCCCATGGAATGTGTGAAAGATTCCATGTGGAATATGCTGGTCATATCAGTGCTGAATACAACGACTGGTTTGACTGGGATGTGTCTTCCAAAGACATTCCACCTCTTTGAGGGCAAGGTGGGGGGAAACTCCTCCTTCTCCCTCAGGAGTTTCCCCTAATTAATGCCTGTTTAATCCCCATCCTCAAAACTTTTGCGGGAAAAGGAAACCTCCCCACCCCTCCTCTGAGAGGCATCTGAAGGGCTGTGGGAACACACGGGCACTAAAAGGGGGGAAAAATCAAAATAACGGAGGATTTAAGACGCTTCACAGCAAACAGCAGCGGGGGGTGGGAGCTGGGCTGGAGCCCAGCTCGGGTTCTGGCGTTGGGGGGTTCGGGGCTGGATCGCAGCTCTGCCTCTTCCAGCACCGGGGGATCCGGGGCTGGATTCCAGCTCGGTGTCTCCCGGAGCCGGGGGGCTGGGGCAGGGAGCCGGGGGGATGCTACCATCTGGTGGCACTGGCTCGCAGCAGCAGCCGGCTGCATCCCTGCTCCATCCCGGCTCCATCCCGGCTCCATCCCGGCTCCATCCCGGCTCCATCCCGGCTCCATCCCGGCTCCATCCCGGCTCCATCCCGGCTCCATCCCGGCTCCATCCCGGCTCCATCCCGGCTCCATCCCGGCTCCATCCCGGCTCCATCCCGGCTCCATCCCGGCTCCATCCCGGCTCCATCCCGGCTCCATCCCGGCTCCATCCCGGCTCCATCCCGGCTCCATCCCGGCTCCATCCCGGCTCCATCCCGGCTCCATCCCGGCTCCATCCCGGCTCCATCCCGGCTCCATCCCGGCTCCATCCCGGCTCCATCCCGGCTCCATCCCGGCTCCATCCCGGCTCCATCCCGGCTCCATCCCGGCTCCATCCCGGCTCCATCCCGGCTCCATCCCGGCTCCATCCCTGCTCCATCCCTGCTCCATCCTGGCTCCATCCCTGTTCCATCCCTGTGCCATCCCTGCTCCATCCCAGCTCCATCCCTTAACCATCCATGCTCCATCCTGGCTCCATCCCTGTTCCATCCCTGCGCCATCCCTTGTCCATCTGGCTCCATCCCTGCTCCCTCCCCTCTCCATCCCCACTTCATCCCTGCTCCATCCCTCTCCATTCCTGCTCCATCCCTGCCACACTTCCCTGCTGGCAGCTCCATAAAAACCCACAACACAAAAAAAACCAGAACAAAATCTCCCCCAGCCCCACGGTGCTGAGGCTGCAGGGAAATCAGCAGCTGGGCTGGGTGGGTGAAGGGGACTGGGACAGACACAGCAATTCCCAGATCACACTCCTCATCCCTGTCCCCATCCTGTGTTTGCAGAGCAGCACCCAGTGGTGGAGGAGCCCGAGGATGACCGTGATAAACCCAAAGTGCCTGAGAAGGAGGAGATGGAGCAGCCACAGATCAAGGTGCCCGTGCAGGTGCCCAAGAGGGAGGAGGAGAGAGGAAAGGTGGAAGAGAAAGTGCAGCTGGACCGTCCTGATCAAGGTAAAGGTGATCCTGGGAAAGGGAGCTGGGGCTGTGTGTATGTTGTGGGACTCTGAGACAGAGATGCTGAACTCTCCTTACCCTCCCCTCAGTGCAGCTTCGTGGTGGTATTGGTGGATTGAAGGTGATTTAGTGTTTGTTGCTCTGGATGCGTTTTGGGAACGTGGCCTCCAGATGAGGGAGAGAAGTCAGGGCTGGACAGGGCATGGAGCTGGGTGTACTGGGAGTACTGGGTGTACTGGGAGTACTGGGAAGCTGCTGCCTCTGACCCTGCCTGTCCCCCCAGGGATTGCTGTGCCCGTGGGGGAGGCTCATCGCCACGAGCCCCCAGTCCCACATGATGAGGTGGTCGTGGACATGGGGCGGGAGCGGGAGGAATCCAGCGAGAACAAAGTGGCTCCCGGAGCAGCCAACGACCGTCTGCTGGAGGAGCCAGCCAGGCTGAAGCCCCAGAAGGAGGCACTGGGCCCTAAACAAGAGAAGGAAGTGGTTGCTGAGAACCAGCCACGGGGAGGGACCGGTGGGCCCGTCCCAAACCTGGAGAAGGCCCCGGAGGCAGCGGTGCAGCAGGGGGCAAGGCCGCCCTACAAGGAGCTGCAGCCAGGGGAAGCCAAGCTGGAAGCCAAGGCACAGGCAGCCGTGCTGGATGGTGACACTGCCGAGGCTGCTAAGCAGGACCTGTCACAGCTCCAGCTCCCCAGGAAAGCAGAGGAGGCTGCAAAGTCCGTGGAGAAGGAAGCAGACCCTGGTAAGCTCCTTTCACGACAGCTCATCTGAGCAAGCTCTTCTGGGCCACTGGAGGTGGGACAATTTGGTCATTCCCATCTCCATCCTGGTGCTTCCTTTTAACTCCACAAGTGGAGCACGTGAGTGAGCACAGCCCCTCCGGCAGCTGCTGCGGGAAGGGAGGAATCTGGTGGCTTTGACAGCTACTGCAAGAGCTGTCAAACAGTTGTTCGCCACCCGCCAAAATGTCAGGTGCCGTGCTGTTCCTGCACGGCTCCCAAATCACCGGGGACACGGAGCCGGGAGATCTTGACAGGGAACACATTGCCAAGTGCCCGTCTAAAAGCCAGTTAGAGCTGTTCTTGCATGTTAATTGGCCGAGGTAGTTAGTGCTGGCTCGCTGCCACCAGGCGCGGGATTGTTAAATATTGGGTTTATTACTTCCCTCGCAGCCGTCGGGTTGGATGCAAACGGAGCCGGGACGGCGCGGAGGCGTTTTGGGGAACATCTGCACTGACAGCAAAGCTCTGTCTTCCTTTGCAGGTGAGAAGCAGGAGCTGCCCCTCCCGGAGAGAGCAGAACTGCTGGAGAACCAGAACGCTGAGGAGAAGCAGGAGAAGGCAGGGGGTGAGTGTGTGTCCCCGGGGCGTGCGGGGACGGGTGTGCATCTCCCCAGATCCCTCTCTGAGGGAGGATGGTGCCTTGAGGCCACAGCCCCTGCATAGCATCAGGTGGTGCCTGTCCTGTCTCTGGCACACCTGGCAGGGCCACTTGGGGACCTGAGTCATGCTGGCACCTGGGCACAGCTGCTCCCTGGTGTTGGAGCCCTGGGAAGAGGGAGGCAGGACTGAAACTGCTCTGGCAGCACGGCGGGAGGGGCGTGGGCAGGGGCACATGGGGACACCTGAACACATCACAGGGAAAAGCTCCTTCCCCTCAAGGCCCTGCTGCTCTGTCCCTGGGGCATCAAAGCTGCAAAGCCCTTCCTCAGGCTGAGCTCCTCCCTCCAACCTCTGCCTGGCAAGAGGAGGTTGGAGCCTGAGCTTGGGCTTGTGTGCAGGTCCCTTGCTCTCCTCCTGTCCTCTTCCAGCTTCCTTCCCTCTCTCCTGGCAGGGTTTGTGGAGTCAGATCTTCCTGCCAAGGAGAGCCCTTGCAGCCCATCCAGAGCTGACATGATTTCTGAGGGCTTTGGGTCACAGGGGTTTTACTTTCTCTGTCTTTTTCCCCTTTTCCAGAAGCAGGGCCAGCAAAACTGCTGGACCACAACGTGCTGCTGCAGGTGATCAAGGAGCAGCAGGTGCAGCACAAGCAGCTCCTGGACCAGCAGGCAAAGCTGCTGGCAGTGATTGAGGAGCAGCACAAGGAGATCCACCAGCAGCGGCAGGAGGAGGGGGCAGAGGAGAAGCCAAAGCCAGGTAAGGACGTGGCCAGGGAGCAGAACCCCTCCAGAGGGTGCTCACAGCTCAGAGCAACTCTAAAATCAAACGGGGAGAGATGTGAGCTCCTTTGGCACATGGCAAAGTCCACTAGCACAGCCATGGCTGTGGGGATAACCCACAGCTCTGCTCTGCCTCCCGTGCGGCCTCATCTCGTGTCTCACAGGATGTGGTGGCAGAAGGGAATGTCCTGAGAAATCCTTTTCCATGTGGGTTTTGTCCTGCAGCAGAAGCACAGCTGGAGCCTGCCGTGCCCCTCTCCAGGAGCAGGGAGGACGAGGGCCCCGGAGCCAAGGGAGACACGGCTGGGAAGGTGCTGGGCAGGGAGCAGCCAGGCCAGCAGCACCCCGATTCCACCAAGCAGCACAGGGACACGGTGGGCAAGCTGGAAGAGGTTGGGCAGAGGCGTGACATTCCTGTGGCTGCTCCCAAGGAGCGGAAGGTGCCGCTGCAAGAGAATGACAGAGCTGTTAAGAATCCCGTGGAGAACCGGGATCCCCTCCACGGGGATGGCCAGCGTGTTCCAGCAGCCAGAAACCACCTGGAGAAAAAGGCCTTGGCAGAGGATTTGGGAGGAGAACGTGAAGCCAAAGCTGGAAGAGATGTCCACCAGAAGAAGAATTTCCTGAAACCCGTGGAAGCGGCTACAGCTCCCATCCAAAGAGAACAGCCGGGGGCTGCCAAAGTTCAGGGAGTAGCAGGAAAGAGTTTGGAAAGAGACTCAGGAACAGACCTTAAAGCCAAAACTCTGAGTCAGGTGGAGCCCAAGGAGCTGGCAGCGGTGCCGGACTCTTCCAGTAACAGGAATGTGGCAGTGAGGGAGCAGCACCCCCGGGAGAGGGAGCGGCAGAGAGGGGCGCAGGCCGAGGGAGCGGGCGGGCGGCAGCGGGACCCGCCCGCCCGCGGGCACGGGAAGGAGGAGGAGCCCCGGGAGGAGCCGGGGGCCCGGCAGGGCCGTGGGGGTCCCTCCAACGGCGCCCCTCAGGATGCTCCAGCAGGGAAGTCTGAGGACGGAGCGGCCGCCCCCAGGGATCCGGAGCGCGACGTGAAACCCAACCGGGAGCTGAAGCTGCAGGGGGGCCTGGACCTGCGCCGCAGGAGACGCGACCTGCTGCCTCCCGAGCAGGAGGAGGAGGGTGGGGAGGAGGGGGCGGCTGCAGCAGGGGCGGGGGGGGTCCTGATCGGGCTGAACCCCCTTCCCGACGTGAAGGTGAACGACCTGCGGAGCGCGCTGGAGACGCGGCTGAGCCGGGTGGCCGAGGGCGCGCAGCACCTGGCGCGCAGCCGCCACATCCAGCAGGTGACACAGGACAGGAGCCCCTGACGGCCTGGAGAGAGCTGAGCCAGCTGCACTTTGCTGGACGCAGTGCTGGGATCCACAGGATCTTCAGCAGCACCCCCAGCGTGTGCCTGCGGGCGGCCGAGGAGATGGTGGCACTGGAAGTGACATTCCTGCTGTCCCCTGCCTTCCAGAGCTGCCATCCACCTCGGCTCCCTGCCAGGCCGCTGCTCTGAGGACCTTTTCCAGCATCTCATTCACATCCAATTGCCTTCTCCAACCATCTCCCAACTCCTCTCAGAAGCAGGAAGGGGCTGCATGGCCCCGCTGTGCCGAGGGGACCTGGGATCCACCCACACCTCGGGAAGGGCTTCGCCCAGAGAAGCCGTGAGCTGAGGAGCAGCAGAGGCAGCTCCAGTGCTGGGCTGCGAGCAGAGCCGCCTTTGTTTGGGCCACAGTGGTGGTTTAGGAACCTCATTTAGTAGAAACGCTGCCTTAACTGGGCACAGCTCCTGTTGTGCTGCCTCTCTCCCAGGGATGGGGTTCCTTGGCCACACACCGGGGTCACACAGAGCTCTGCCCCACTGCCCTCCCTGGGTGCTCCTCTCTGTGCTCTCCAGCTCCACTTCCCCTCTCAAAAGTGCATTAAGAAGCTCAACTTCCCCCCAAGCCAGCTTGATTCTTCTGCCAGAGGTGAGTGGTCTGGGAGAAAGCGTGGCAGAGCCGGGTGGATCCAGGGGCTCCACCTCCCTCTGCCTGTGTTCCCTGTGCTCTTCCCAGCCTCCCCCAGCCCTGTTCTGCATCCAGACAGGTCCCTGCTCCACCTCTGGGAATTTGGTGAGTGAGGAAGGGAGGAGCTTCCCCAGAGCTCTGTGTTGTTTCAGGCTCCCAGTGATTCATCCCTTGGGTTTTTTTGGGTTTTGTGTTTTTACACCCTGACCTGTGAATGTACGGAATTCAATCCCAAAGCTCTCCCAGACCGGCTGAGAATTCCCAGCCTGGAGCCCTCAGACCTCATCACTGTGGTGGGTTTTATATCCCGACCTCCAAATGTCTTTGGCAACCTCGAGTCTGTGTCCAGTGGGACCCTGCAGAGCTGGGACGGGGTGGGACTGTCCCTGCCTGGTGCTCCCGGGGTGTCACAACCCAGAGGGACAGGGAGCGACCTGGGGACTCCTTTGGGAAGAGCCCCGGGAACACTGTGGCCTTAAACCCCCCGAACCCAATGAGCTTCTCCATGAACGCTGTCCAAGCACAAGCAGCAGGGCCGGGAGGCAGGGCGGGCTCTGGAGCAGCTCCAGGGCTGCCCCGGGGAGGGGATCCGCCTGTTTGTTGTTCTCTGTGTGAACAGAAGGGACCAAAGATGCTCCTGGCATCATTCCTGCTCCTGGGAATGGCGTGGGCACCCCGGGCCGGGCTGGCAGCTGCCTTGTCCCGCCGGGACCGGCTCCCCCGGGGCGGGTGGAACGCTGGCACGGAGAGCCCGGAGCGCGGGCCGAGCCCATCAATAAAAAAAGCTGAAGCATTCTGATCTCAATTCTTTTTTTTAATAAATTAAAATAGATCTGTGACCCTCACCCAGCCCGGGGCTGCGCCTCCTCCGGGCCGGGAGCGGGTGGGCAGCTCCGGCTCGGGGGGTTCCGTCATTGGAGGACAAAGCGGTGCTTTGAGAGGGCTCCGTTCCCCACGAGCGCCTCCGGGCGGGGGCTCCGGGGTCACTTCGGCGTCGCCTTTGCCTGCAACGAGCCGCGGTCAGCACGGGCCGAGGCCGCCGCCTTCCGCCGGCAGCGGGATGGGGCCGGGCACCGGGATGGGGCCGGGCACCGGGGCAGGGCCGTACCGCGCGGGCGAAGCACTCGCGCAGCGCCCGGAACTCCTCCAGGCACGCGTCCCGCCGCAGCTCCGCCGGGCCCGCCGCCGCCGCCGCCACGCACCGCCCGTAGGCCGCGGCCTGCGGGAACACAGGGCACGGGAGCGGGGGAGCGCCGGGACCCGCCGCCCCCGAGCCGCCCGCGCCCGCTGCCACACTCCGCGCCCCGACATCGCCTCACCGCACGGGCGCCGCCATGCCCGCGCGACCGCGATTGGCTGCCCGCCCCGCTCGTCACGCACCGCGCTCTCCTATTGGGCGGGGCCGCCACAAGCCACGCCCTTCTGGTTTGTCATTCGGCGCGGACGGCTCTGATTGGTTGAAATGCCGGTTGTTTACTTCCCGCCTCCTTCAGGCGTCAACCTCATGAGGTTCTTCCGCCTGTAGCCCCGCCCTCCCTCACCGATGATTGGTTGAGCGGCAGAGCTTCGCTTTCTCATTGGTGGAAAGCAACTTCCGGGGGGCGGTTCCCTGAGGCCGCCGAGGGAGCGGGCAGGGCCGGTGCGGGCAGTGTCATGGCGGCGCCGCTGCGGGACCGGCTGAGTTTCCTGAGCCGGGTACGGGCCGGGGCTTTTGGGGGTGCGGGGGGGCTGCCGGGGCGTGACGTCACTGCTCGCTCACGACGTCATCGCTGCATCCCCGCACTCGCCTCCGCAGCGGCCTCACGCAGCCCTGAGCGGGCCGGGCCTGCCCCGGGGCCGGGGGCCGGGGCGGCTCCGCTCCCTCTCACCCGCCCCCTCCTCCTCCAGCTGCCGGTGTTGCTGCGGGGCACGGCCGACGACGACACCCCGTGCCCCGGGTACCTGTTCGAGGAGATCGCCAGTATCCTTCGGGGGGCCGGGGGGCACGGGGAGGGGGTCCCGGGGCAGGGAGGGGGTCCCGGGGCAGGGGGAGCTCCCCGGGGCTGCTCCAGACCCTGATGGGCTTTGGAGGCCCGCGGGGCTGGGAGGGGCAGCCGCGGGACTGCGGGCCCTGGCTGGGAGCCTGTGGAGGGGCTGAATTCCTGGCGCTCGGGGGCTGCTGCTGCTCCTCACCTGGCTGGATCCCTAACCCGTCCCTAGAGATCTCCCACGAGTCCCCCGGCAGCAGCCAGTGCCTGCTGGAGCATCTCCTCACACGGCTGCAGAGCAGCTCCTGCCACGTCAAGTTGAAGGTGGGTCCGTGCTGGGGGCACTGGGGGGATGGGATGGGACCCCCCGCTCCAGGGAGGGCAGCTGTGACCTGTCCCTGTGCCCCGAGGCAGGTGCTGAAGATCCTGCTGCACACCTGCTCGCAGGGCTCGCCCCACTTTGTGCTGCAGCTGAAGAGGAACGCCAGCTTCATCCGGGAGGCTGCAGGTGACGGCCTGGGGGGACAGGCACAGCAGCGACAGCCCCGCGGGGGGCTGGAGAGCCCAGAAGGGCTCCTGCTGCCGGGGCTGAGCCGGGAGCAGGGTCCTGCCCCTCACCCTCCGCTGTGTGTCTGCAGCGTTCTCCGGGCCCCCAGACCCCCTCCACGGCAACAGCCTGAACCAGAAGGTGCGGGCGGCCGCACAGGTGGGTGCTGAGGGACAGGGCTGTTCGGGGGGCTCCGGGGCTCCCAGCACTGCCAGCACTCCTCTGTGTGTGTGTGTGCGTGTGTCCATCCCACAGGACCTGGCCAAGATTCTGTTCTCGGATGCGCCGCTGCCGCAGCCGCTGGCGCCCGGCCGGCCCCCGGCCCCCGCCGGTGAGCACAGGGCACAGGGACACGGCAGGAAAGGGGAGCCCCAGTGCCTGTGCCCCCCTGACATCCCCTGTGCCTCCCCAGGGATGGGCTCCAGCCCCAGCCCCTGTGGCTCCCTGCAGGGCTTCGGCTTCAGCAGCGACAAGAGCGGCTCCGGTGAGTCCTGGCCGGGCCCTCACTGGCTCCTTTCCTGCTGGGAGCTGGGGCAGGGCCGTGGGGTCACTCTGAGCTCCCAGAGCTCCCTCGGCCCCTCTGCCAGCCTGGAGCTGGGGTGATCCCGTGGGGCTGGGCTCCCGGGGTGCTCCCAACATCCCAGCCTCGCAGCTTCCACAGGAGAGGCCCTGCTGAGCAGCCTCCAGCGGGCGGCCGAGGCCGTGGCCCAGGCCGTGCTCCCGGCCCCGGGGGGGCCCCGGCAGCTCCGGGGAGACCTCCCCGAGGACACCTATGAGCCTGTGCGAGCTCCATCCCCCGCCAGCAGCCCGGCCCCGCCGCCCCCGAGCCCTCCCGCGCCGCGCGCGTCCCGAGGTGGGTCCTGCCCGGGGAGTCTGGGGGTCCCCACCCTCCTGGGGGTTTGGGGACCCCAGCTCAGCAGCGCTGTCCCCGCAGCGAGCCACCAGCCGGGGCTGCCCGGGGGCGGCTGGGAGGAGGCCGACAGCGGGCACAGCTCCCGGGAATCCTCGCAGGGCCACGAGCGGAGCCGCGCCTCGGACTCGGGCAGCAAATCCGGCAGCGACAGCCGCTCCGGGGCCAGCCGGGAGCTGAGCCACGGGCCCGACGGGTGAGAGGGGCCCGGGGCTCCCCTGCCCTGGCGCTGTCCCAGCAGCGCTGCCCTGGCTTCCCACACCAGGGATCCAGAGTGCCCCGGCACTGCTGGCTGTCCTCCCCCAGGGCTGTTCGTCCTGCCGGCCCTGGGCGGGCAGAGCTGCCCAGGGTGGGGGGCCCTGTGTGCCAGGGGGGTGCAGGGACCCCAGGAGGGGTAAGCAGGTGGCTGCTGTCCTCACGAGGTGTGTCCCCAGCAGGGTGGATGCTGACAGCCCGGGTGACTGCCGCAGGGAGCTGAGCCTGGTGTCGGCACTGACGCGCGGGGCCAGGGTCTTCCTCACCAGGGAGGAAGCTCAGCACTTCCTCAAGGAGTGAGTGTCAGAGGCGGGTGCTCCCTAGGGCTGGGGGGGCTTCTGGGGCAACCTGAGCCCTTCCCTGGCTGCCCAGGCCTGGACTGTGGGATGGGAAGGGGCTGCAGGGGACTGTGACCCCCCTCCCTGTGCAGGTGTGGGCTCCTGAACTGTGAGGTGGTGCTGGAGCTGCTGGGCCGGGCGCTGGAGGATCCCAGTGACAGCGTCCGCATGGTCAGTGAGCTCAGGGCTCCCCTGGGAGGGCTGGGGGGCGTTTGGGGGCCTGCCAGGCTCAGCTGCCCTCTCCCACAGAGGTCCATGTGTGCCATCTCTGCCCTCGGCTGCTCCGACCTGCTGTCCCCAGAGCAGATCTTTGCCGTGACCCAGCAGCGCCTGCAGCACCTCAGCCAGGGCAGCCCTGGGCCTGTGGCCAACCGAGCAACAAAGGTGACTCTGGGGACATGCCTGTGCCCAGTCCCTTGGCACGGGTTTGCCAGCCCCTGGGGACACACAGCCCTTGGGAATGGCTCAGGGAGGGCTGGTTTGGCTGCCTCTCCCAGGGCGGGGTGATGCTCCCCCTGGGCCCCGGGAGGGGACACTGGGGCAGTCGCTGTGCCTGACAGGAGGTGGCAGGCTGAGCACTGTGCCCTCCCCTGTCCCAGATGCTGCGGCAGTTCGAGGCCCTGTGCCGGGCCCAGCCCTCCCCGCGGGCCCCACGCCCACCCTCGGCCCCCTCGGCGGGCTCGGCCGGGGACCTGCTCATGGACATCCCGGCCGTGCCCGGCGGGACCTTCCTGACCCCGCTGAGCCCGGCCCCGACCCCCGCGGCCGCCGCCGAGGAGCCGGGGGTGGCATCGGAGCCCCCCGGGCAGCCCGGGGCCGCGGTGCCAGCCTGTCCCTGCGGGCAGGGCGGGGGCAGCAGGCTGGCGGGGGACACGGCGGCGCCCGGGCTGTCCCTGTTCGCCGGCATGGAGCTGGTGGCCCGTCCCGGCACGGCGCTCCGGCCGCGCTCGCCGCCGGTGGAGCCGCAGGACGGGGGCACGGACACGGAGGGCACCCTGCAGCCCTCGGCCTTCCCCTTCCTCAACATGTAGCTGCTGTGGGGCCCCGGGGGCTGCGGGGCTCTGCCCCCTCCCTGCGGGGCCTGTGTGTGCTGGTGCCTCGGGGCACGGGCTGAAGTGGCCACAGGGCTTCCATCAGGTGACAGTGTCCCCCTGGCTGGCTGGGGCGTGCCGGGGCAGGCACAGGGGCACGGCTCCGTGCTCCTCTGAGCTGGACAGGGGTGTGGGACATGCTGGGACTGAGCTGGGGGGGCCTTGGGGCCCCCAGCATGGCCGTGGGTGCTCTTGGGTGGCCCCAGCTGCAGGCTGGGCTCTGTGGGGTGGGAGAAGGTGCCGTCCCCACGGGGCCGGGACCCACCAATAAACCCCACTCGGGTCTGGGAGCGTGTGACTTCTTCCTGCGCCGCTGATGGAGCCTGGCCCGTGGCCCCATTTTCCTACAGCCCCACAGCTCTCCGATGCTCTCCCCCATGCCACAGCCCCCCGGCAGCCCCATGGTTCCCCCTCTTCCTCACAGCTCACCCCTGCCCCAGAGCCCCCAATAGCTCCACATTTTCCCATGGCCCCCAATAACCCCATGAGCCCCCCTGCCCCACAGTGCCCCCTCCCCACCCTGCCCCCCCCATGGCGCCATGACTCCCCCATATTCCTCACCGCCCCCTAGCAGCCCAGTCCCCCTCTCGGGTCCCCAAAATCCCCATTTTCCCCCCAAAAACCCCGCGGGGACCCCGCCCACCTGGGAAGCCCCGCCCTCAAAGCCACACCCATCTCAATACTC